ACAAGCATGCAGAAGACAGCACTGTTGAATCCTGAACATTAGTAGCATTTTTTAAAGCCATGGAAGATACTCTGCAAGTTTGTAAGGAGGTAATTTTTTTTTTTTACCTAAAATCTTTTAAGTCATTTGCTAATGATCAAGCTCTATGATCTTCCAAACTCTCATAGCACCCAGTGATCAAGCACTTTAGTAGTGAACTAGACTGTCTGGTGCATCAGTATATGAATCCTGCCTCCACAAGAGCCGCAAGACAAGCTTCCCTTGCCAGGTAGCTGCTGCAGAATGGGACAGTGACAGCGGTATTAGAGATGAAGGGGAGGCACATTACCTGATTTCCAGTTCAGCAACATAAATTAAGCAGACCTGATAACAGTTTAGAACCAGAAATGGCACAGGTAACAACTACTATCAGTAATCAATACTGCTCTATTATTTCTGTGACTGAAAAGTGACTAAGCAATACCACTTTAAATATGCACTGCATAAGGGCAAGAGAGTTACATATACTCCAAGTGAGTGGGGAGGGAGGTTCTACTCCCCCAAAAATTGCTTCTTTATTTTAAAATGTTCAACAGAGGAACCTTTTACATCTTTAGTATTCACCCAAAAAGATTTTGAAAGCAAAAAAAGATTTTGAAAGCAATATTACCCTCACATTATAAATACAGAACCTGACAGAAAGATCTGAAGAGTCTACAAAAAGGAAAAAACCAAAAAAGAAAAGAGTAATTTTGTCTAGCAGCATTGTAAAAGTCTGCTTTGATAATTCTAAACTGAGAAAGAAGAAAAATTAACTTCTTGATAGTGCTACACATTTAAAGCACCTTTATTAATAGTGCATTCTGCATCTATCAAATTAACTAAGCTACAAGATAAGAAATTGTAACTCATGTTAAAATTATTTGGAAATTCATCTTCAATACTTACTAATGGCAAAGCCCACTTTTAATCCTACTTAGCTATTTATTAGGGCAATTGAATGCAATTTCACTATTATTCATCATTATGTTTAAGATTTCTTTATGCTCTATTCTTGCTATTATAAGTCCATATTAGAATTGCTTTTCTGTTTCTTTAAACATGGGCTTTGCTTAAAGCAAACCATAGCAACTGCAAAGAAGTTACCTGCACCCCCTAAGCTCAGAGTGAATTGCTCAAGCATTGCTAATTTTGAGGTGGGAGGAGTTGTAGAAATGAGGTCTTTTTATATAAAAAGCTTAAATGACTCATGAAAACTCTTTTGGCATAGCTTATACATGCTTGACAACAACAACAACATATATATAGCACCATCCATCACTCAAGTGCTGTACAAACCAGCCCAAAAACATTGGGCATAACGGGCTATTTCTGAGAGCAGGGAACTGGGTGTTATCGAGTCAAGTTTTCTTATCAGGTATATAAATTACACTTGACATCCAGTAAATCAATGTTTAAAAAGTATAAGGTACCTTGCATAACTGTCCAGGAGACTTCCACTTGGCCAAAACATCTGCAGGAGAATGGGTCAACACAGACATACTGATCTTGGCCAAATTTCCAGGCTAGTCACCAGCAGTGGTGCACTGTCACAGATGAAAAACCTGAAGGTTTTCTACAGTGCTCATACAGCTGCACACTAATCACAGATGGTGGAACTGAAGTGAATAGTCTGCTGAAAAGGGCTATTAAAGAAGAACCAAGAACAACAGACATGTCTGGATCTGAATGTCTGGTCTACCTCTCAGTAAATGCACGTGCCAATTAGTTTCATAGGCTGATCAAAGTACAACTGCTCTTTATTCTCCAGCATTCCTTGTAAGATATTCTGGAATTTAGCTCCACTAGTGACCTGGTATTTATTTTTACACTACTTATAGCTACATGTCAGCTTATACACACTACTTCTGCCACCCACAGATTTTCCTTTCTGTCAGTCCTGCTTCCAGCTCTCAAATTCCTGCATCTTCCTCTGTCAGCTAAACATTCTTGGTCATCAGGTCTGCACAGCTAGAGATTTACACTGCTTTAAGTGTCATAGTCCTGGCCCCCTGACTTAAAACGAAAAAATTATTCTAATAGAGGAGCTAAGGCTGGATGACATCCAAAGACTTACAGTATTGTTCTTCTGCAAGCTCAGATGCTGCAAAAGCAAGTTCAACAGAAATAAAATCGTATGTAAACAATATGCCATATAGTGGCATATCCGAAAAAGCATGACAGACTACATAAAAGTCCTATATGTGTCCTGAGAGATGCAAAACACCTGGCTCTGCTGCTTTTCCCTGCCATCATTGCAACTTAAAATCAGACAAGTAAATGCAGAAAGTTTCTCAAAGTGCTGCTGGCCTTCCCTACTGAAGACAAGGCACTCACAAAGGAAGAGCATCAATCAATCAGATGACACACGAGTGGCTTTCCTTAATTAGAGACTAGCTAACATTAGAATAGGCAAGTGAACAGAAGGCTCCATACATTGCTACTGCTTCCACCTACAACCTTTATCTCAGTTCCTCCGCACCTTATACTGACTACCTACCCCACAGTAGTCTCTTTGTCTTCTTCTCCCACTCAATTTTCTGCCTGAAAAAACTCTCCTCCTTTTACATGCCAGGTAGAACTCCCTCCCTTTCTTTCAATACTCCCTTACACCAATTCCCTCCAGCTTCTTTGTTTCACTCAGCCCTGTTGGGGGTCCTCCATTGCTATTATCCACACTGCACCACAGGGGCATTGGTTCACTCATCACACACCTTGTCATTCTACAAGACAAGTGTGGGCTTGAAGACCTTCTGTAAAGCACACCTGATGGGGCAACCTGAGATCTCAGACCTTACAGTGAACAGCTGTTCTCTTTCAGTTGTCCATCCAATTCAAAGTCCTCAATCCAAAATAAAAACCCAGTGGTCATATGAAGGATAGAAATTAATTCACAAGTCCTGTGCTCTGGTTTGGAATTTTCTGTCACTTAGATCAAGACCACGGAAATAGCCATTCTTTCACATCAAAGGCAGTAGCATTCTGGGTAATCAAAGAGCAACCCTGACAAGTATAAGAGTTAATTATGAAATAGATCTCAAGATAGGGCTGCCAATTAGTGTTCACTCTGCATACAGCACTCTAGAAGCACACCTGGAGTAGCCAGGATGTGCCCTTTTACAGATGTATGTACCATTCCATCCAGGGCCTTCCACCCTGTATAAACCACCTGACAGCTACTGAGGAATCTGTCTGCTCACCTCAACATCCTATAAAAATTTTTTTGAAACATTCTTACAGTAGTTTGCTCCCACATGAGAGGATCTCCCTAAAACACACAGAAATCCATAGTAAGCATGAAGCTTTTCAGTTACATCAGGTGTGCAGACATTCCACGTTCTTCACAGAAACCTGATCAACCTGAGTGCTTTTTACATTACTGCTTTGCTTTTAAAGCATGTGCACTACTCAATACTTCTGAGGCCCTTTATGTTTCCAAAGCACTATACAAACACCATTTAATTAGAGACAGCTAACAAGAATATCCCAAGATACTGAATCTCAGCATGCAGCAAGGATTTTTATTCCCCACCCCGCCCCTCCCCAAATAGGTAAAGTTAAGGATTGAATGATGCCTAAGAGTGTGCTCACTGAGCTGTGGAACAATACCTTCAAGCAAAAAGGTATTATATTTGAAACTTTCATACTGCCAGTGTGTAGCAAAGATCCAGCGCAGCCTGGCCAAGCAGAAATGGCTCTGGTTCACTGTTAACTATTGAGAGGATATCACATATGCTGTCAGATGCAGTTTCTATTCACAGAAGGCATCCACATTGTACACACATTTCTCCTTACTGGCACTACACTGCAGCCATGCCTCTAGGGGCTCTGTTTTGATGAAAACAACTGAAAAGAAATCACTAATCCCTTAATTAGTGGCACCTGTTTCACCTTCTGTGGGAATAATTTAGGAAGTCTGAATGGGCCACATGTCACACAAAGTGAAAATCTCATAACTGAAAGTGACTCAGGTTGTTGGTTCATTTCTCTGTACCTACAACTCAGCTGGGGAAGGCTACTGAAAGTAAGTACTCAGTGTTAACTGAGAACAGCTTCATAAACCACTCATCACTGCCTTTTTCAAAAGCCTCCTCTCAAATTTCTGATGGGAGTTGCATTACACCATGCCAAGTTGCTGATCCTAGGTCTCAAGCACAGCTCCAGGAATACACAATTAGAGCCATGTTCCCTTGAATTTTCATAGAGCTCTTGTTTAAGCCACAACAGCAAGGGGATTAACTGTACTTTCCTAGCTGAGCTACTTCACTGCTTGCTAGATAAGAACAGAAGCACACACCTTAACCACCAAAAACACCTATTAGGTCTCATCATCCACTCTGCTACTCCATTCCTCAGACCTCCCACGCAATAACTGCATCATGTAAGAGTCCTACAAAGCTATGTCCAGTAGACTATGTCAAACCTCTTAATATTTATCTATCTCTGGATACAAGTGGTATGAAATAGACTTATCTACCATCAACTCAAAGGTCAGAGTTAAAAGCCTCTCTTCCCTCACACTGACATTTCTAGGTTGCTCTGTTCAGAAGGGGCTGCACACACTACTCTATGTGTATGCAGCTCTGACAGTAAAAAGGAAAAGTAAGGTCCACCTTCCTTTAACCAAGAGCCTGTTTCCCTTCTACTCACAAATACCTGAGAGAAACACTACTCCAAAAAAATTACTCCATTTCTCCAATCAGGTGAACAGGGACTCAGGTAATGAAACAGAAAAACAAAGACATTTGGATACCATGGTGATCATGGCCAGACAAGAAAGTAAATTAGCTACCATTATGATAATGAACTGGCTTTCCAAAAGAGGCAATTTGCATGTAGCAACTGAGAAGCAAAATAAAGATGCTTTAACAAAACTGCTGCTTGCTGTTTAACCCTGTAGCAATGGAACGAGCAGTCACAGCCACCAAACAGCCACTGCTCTGGGCTTTTCCTATTTAACTGTCACTGCAGATGCAAAGTACCTGACCAGAGCTCCCTCCAGGTGTAATGAAGTCTCACTCTGCATTTCTTCTGGTAGCACAGCAGCTTGTGCACAATCTGAATGCACCGTCTGGAAAAGAGAGGGCAAAGGATTAATGACATTGCATTTTCCAGGAATTCTACATCAAATCTGGAAATGTCTTCAAAATCAGCACCATAGAAACAGACAAACTCGAAGACTATCAGAGGAGGATGGGACTCATGGTTTTGAGCTCCTAAAGGAAACAAAAAAAGAATCAGACAAAATGAAAGAAAGGGGTCTGTATGTCAGTTTAAGCTCAACAGGACTGGACTGACCACAAATGCACATTCATTGTTTAATTAACACTTTCCACTCTTTGCTACCCTTACCTGAGAACCTCATAAGCTCTACAAAATGAGTTACTTAATTTGGAGGCTCCATGTGTAGGAGATACTGCAAGTTATTGTAAAATCTGAGCACAGTGGAGTTTCTCAGTTTCTCTGGCCCAAATGATCAGGCTAAGGGAAGTAAGAGTGCCAAAAAAACGACAGAATTTTTAGTTTGACTGAGGTGTGTGGTTTAATTACTTAAAAAAAAAAAAAGATATTTCTATTCATTTTTCCAATTTCTTTAAAAAAACAATTTAGGTGGAGTTTTAGAATGATCAAGCACTACACATACAAGCTCTGGAATCCCTCAACACAGCTAGTGTACTTGTCAAGTCTCCAAATAATCCTGTAGGTCTCTAAAGCATCTAGCACTCATACAAACTCTCAGGTGCACAAACATTCTTCACAAATAATATCAGAACTAAATATGCAGTATAATGAGCAAATTCTCTAACACTAGCTATCATAAAGGACAAGACAAAAAATATATACCAATTTCAATTTGTTAGGTCAAGCTATTTTTAGTTATTGACATTTAGAAAAAATAGAAGGAAGGCTTCAAAAAAGAAAAATTCCTTTTTCCCCAAATTCTTATTTCTCAAAGACATATCTCATTAATGTGAACATCTTTCTGAAAAGACATTGATGAATGACACTACACATCAGATAAACATAGAGAGATCAAATCCTAGAAATTTGCATGGAATTTATCCCAAACGGTCTGAAGAGTTCAAGAGCAGGCTTTAAAAATAAGGCTGTAGAAAAAAATATGCAGAAGGTGTACCTTATTCTTTTCAGACCTTCAGATGATCCCAAAAATACCACAATGAGGTAAGAACTAAAACTAACTTTGAATGAACAAAAGTTAACACCATTTATAATCTCTGAGCATCACAGTAAGTGCTGTATTTAAAACTGCATTCTCATAAATTCAACCAAGAAAAGGAAGCAAACCAGCTATGATAGACAGCTGTCTTCAGATCATGAACAGTAATCACTCTGGGAAGAGACCTCCTATTTCTGATGACACTGGTACCAGACAATGCCCAGCACCTCTTCACCTACATATTTGCTTAGCTGTAAGTCTAAAATTGGCCTCTCTAGGAAAAAAAAGCCAAACCCTATTTAAGGCACTGACCAGAGAGAATCTGCTAATGGCTAAAACATTTCTTTATAATAACAATAGCTGTTAATGCAAAATAATCTGCATACACATCTCATCACTGAAACCTTGTGATTGTACACAGTAGCATACAGCTACTGTGAAACCCTGGCACGGACAGAAAGGGATCAGAAGGGGCATAACAGCCCTAGTACCCCTTCCTAGACTCCCAGACTACACTGCTTTAGTTGTGAAACTTCATTAGTTATGAAGACATCCATCCCCGTGGGGTATCTCTGTATTTTAGTTTTGTGCTGAGGATTCGTAATACCCATAATGGACAAAAAGCACCCTTGGTCTAAGCAATCTGGATTTCTCTTTTAAATATTAATATGCCTGCCCTTGAGCAGCTTCATGTTGTCACCTTTTAAATGCACTGCAGAGAAGTATGACACTACTTGTGCATTCAGAACACCCACTTTGTCTGCAATAACTGCGTCTGCTACGGGATGGTTTCAGACAGGAGTATAGTGAAAGGACTGCACAAACATGCCAAAATGAATGGATACAGATGTCCACCAGTGGTTGCTACTGCTCATTATTTTTAGTCTCATGGGGTTTCTGGATGTGACATTACTTCTGAGCCCAAGCAGTTCACACCTTTCTTGTGAGACTCCAGTGCATTACACCCATCTACAACTAATTCTGCAATTCTCATTAAAAAAACATTTCTCACAAACTCAGTTGAACTATACAACCTTTGAAAAGGCACTGTAATTGCAGGGTTATGTGGGCAAAATCATAACATGCTGAAAAGTTACCTTAAGGGAAAACATCCTATGTGTCTTTATTTTTTCTGCAGAATATAGTGCTGTTCATGCCTTGGGGAAATTCAGCACTGTACAAACAGTCAGAGCAAAGCCAACAATCTGCCTAAATCCTATTTCTGCCCTCCAGGCTAAAGCAGCACAAAAGCATTTGAGGGGCCCCCCGTGGGACCCATGGAGTGCTCATGAGTAGTTCTGTCCTCTTGTCTCCTTTTGCCCATTGCTAAGTTTTACCCCTTGCAAGCTATTTCAAGCTTAAACCTCTCCTCCTCTCCACATTGCCTTCCAGGCCTCACATCAGTCATCCCTGGGTTTTTAAAACTGTCTTTTCTGTTTCTAGAGCAAGATTCACCTTCTGGGAAGTGGGGATTCTTGCAATGACTTTGTGTTATGAAACTTCTTTTAGGCTGAAAAGCTCTTTGTGTTAGATCAAGTAGATTAGGAAAACAGTCTGAAAGGTAGAAATTCATTTCACTTTCAATTTTCTGGCACACAGAGGATTTTAGAAGTAGAAAAAGTTACTGGAAGAGTTCATGAAACGCCATCCTACTCCCCACCAGCCACAGCGTTATTTCAGCAGGAAGATCGCCCTGGGAGCAGAATTCCACCCGAATTCAAACTTCAAATAAAATCACAGTGAGTTACCCCACAACACTTACACATAGAGATCCATAGGAAATTCTTTCATCATGTGTGTTACAATGAATTCCACCATCAAATCTGACAGAAAAGAAAATGATTAAGTAAGTATTGAGCTGGCTACTGGTAACTTCTTATAGACTGTGAGGAAATCAAACTGCCCCACCTACCTACCTACCTCTACCAGACAACAGTCCTGCGTAGATGAGAGGAATTTCACTTGTTTATTTGTTTTAAAGAGCATTGGACATCCTCTAGAATCAGAAAAGAAACTACTGGAAACTGACAGCACATACTATACCCTTTTGCTTTGAGGCACTGCTTCCCCACATACTTTCCCCCTCTAACAGCCAAATAAAGACTATACAATGAATTCTGATGTTTAGAATTGCTCTCATATTTCAAGACTTGTCACTAATGGAAAACTCCCTTAAGAAGCACATTTTAGAAAATTATTCTTGCAAGAAACAATGCACAAACTAGAAGTTTACTTAAAGAGACACTGTAGGTAACACCTATTTTTCCCTATAACAAATTCTGAAGTAAAGTTAGTTTGATCTCAACATAGGCAAGGCTTCTCCTTAAGACTAACTCAGGGAAAAAAAAAGAAAAAAAAGGAAAAAAGGAGAATGGACTGCCCATTTAAGGGCTCCCAATGTGAGGATTAGAGGTGAAGAATACAGAAATATAGTTGAAAGAGATAAATTACTATAGTTCAGCTAATAATGATATCGGAATGTGTGTATGCGCAGTACAACTTCAGCATAAAATGTTTATCTCATGCCAGTGGTAACAATTGTGAGCTGTAACCTCCTAGGGCACTTAGAGCCCAGCAGTGTGACTCAACAGTGACTAGAAACAGTCTAGGGAAAGAGTGCATGAGATCTGATAAGTCTAGAAACACTCCTCATGCAGTCAGTGTGTCTTGGCTTCAACAAGCACATGTTTGAAAACGCTGGAGTCTAAGACTACTTCCATACCATCCTGTTTAAGAGTCATTCAGGACCCAGGCTTCATCCATTTCTGAACCCATTTATTCTTTTGGCCTCCACAGTAATGAGAGTCACAATTTAACCATGTGTTGTATGAAAAGCTTTTAATAATGCCTCCATATCCACAGGCAAAACCAATCAAAGGTAGTGACATTCCTATTGGTTTTTTGCCCAAAAAAGGCTAAACACCCAGTAAACACATTCACAAACATATCCCTTCCATAGGTTTGCCATCCTCATATCGCCTACAAAGTACTTAGGGCTAATTGCTACCACACTCACCTAAAACTGAATTTATTAATCAACTGTCCTCCCTGTTGTTACTAACTCATATCAAAGGGGCCAACCGGCTTCTGCAAAGCTTACTGTAAATATATATAGGATTTTTTGCTACAAAGTTGCAATCTTGGATTTAATTTGTCTGTGAAGCAGCCATGTATAGTATGGGGATGGACATTCCATTGTTGGAAACATCTTTAGTTTTTAACTGTCCTCCTTTTAAGCCCATCCACCCCTCCACTTAAGCCACAAACCTCGTATTTCTCTTGCACAACAAGAGGTGCTCTGGGAACCACAAGCACACAGTACTGTGGCAACACTCACCGAGCACCGCACACACCAGCGGGCGGCAGGGCAGGTTCTTGTCTGCTGCTTTCTTACGATGTCTCATTGGCTTCAAACACACAAAGATGAAAAGAAATCAGCAGAAGCCTGAAGTGACAGTCTGAAGTGACAGTCTCTGTATTACTGTATTTTTCAAGCAAATAGCATCAGCAGCACAGACTTCCCTTTGTCTTTTTCTCCAACTGCTGTCTTACCTATATTAATCCTAAAGGCCATGGCTGGAGCAAAATTGTGCCTGCTTTTCCATGCCAGGGTTTTGTTTCTCCAGTTGTGTAACTGGAGGGCACTGTTATACTGGGTGGGGGGGGAACACCACAAGACAAAAACAAATCACACAGCAATTCCTCCCCCTTGCTTAGCATAATGATTTGGTTCCTGACCCAGAAGTCTGACTGGTATTCTCAACAATGTGTGCATTATTCAATGGCTTTGGTTTTATTGTAACAGACCAGAAAGGCTAACGAGATGGCAAGTTTGTTGTTAAGTGGTAGGGACTGGCATCCTTGGAGTATGCTCACTATAAAGTAAGATGTTTGTTTCTGTCCTGGATTAGTGACGCTTTTAAGTGCTGCTTCACTGTCAGATAAGGTGGACTTTGCCAGTACCACAAAGACAGAATGCATCAAGTTAGGATAACCATTCAAGTTACTTGTAACTACAGAGCTTCATGAGATAGCTAAGGACACTTCCCCCCACAGATATCTATAGGAAAAAGCTCTGAAAAAATACTTTCCTCCCTGAAGGTGAATCACTCCACCCAGGATGAAGCATAAGCCAAATGAGAGCACTCAGTGTAATTCCAGCTGGCTATTATATATCACATGAGGGCTCATGCTTGCTGAAGATTAAAGCAGAACATTCCCTCTGCCACTCATTTCCTCAGAGACCTCATAATATGCAGCTCCTCCCCAGTTACACAGGCCTCTCAATTCACTGACAGGGCAACCAGCTCTTTGTTCTTTGAAGAGACATTCTGAGAGCAATTTCAAAATCATTCCCCAACTGCTGCGTTTCTCACAGTATTTCCACATGCCTTAGCAATCTAGGTTAGATGTCTGTGACACAGTTTTCAACATACAGGGTCTCCAGTCCTCTGAGTTTGCATCCCAAAGAGAAAGCAATCTGGAGGAAAAGACTCACCATTCTATGTAGGTTTACACGAAAATTCATGTTGTCATCATGAAGAAAAGCGTTAGCATACTGATCCTATTGGAAAGGGCAAGAAAAGGGAAGAAATGTGAACAGCCCAACATCTCACAGTTGCCTCTCAAATCACACGTGTTTCAGTGCAATACTCCCAATATATAACTATAAAGTTAAAAAGACATCTGTAACTTCCTCTTGCCCCCACCTATGTTTCCAGTCACACAAAAGTAAACCCCTCCTGACCCCAATTCCACTTTAACTAAAGCCTGAACTACTGCTTGTTTGGTTAGCAATTTATTTTCCATTCTCCTCTTCTGCTCATTCAAACTCTGGACTGCACACACCACTGTGTCAAGAGTTCAACAAGTGCTCCAGATGTATAATATATGAAGGTGGTTCTCCAGCACACCAGTTTCTGTGACTGTGTGGACGAAGGTTTAAATTGGCATTTTGATGGACCCATCATGCCAGAAGTTACTGCAATACTAGCAGCTGTTCCACCCCTCAGGCAAAGCTCATTCCAACACCACCTCTAAATTAAAGAGACTTCTCCAGATAATGCACAGCTAGGATGGGTAATAAATATAACTGACTTAATACCAGAATCAAAGCATGCCCTTCTTACAGAGAAACACAATTTCTTATCTTGTGTTATCTATGCATCCATCTGAAGAAAAAGTGCCAAAACCATTTAATTAGAAAAATTTGAAATGTAAATGATTAGTTTTTAGGCCGTACCCTGAAGAAACATTACTTCAGAATCTTTACACTTGCTATCAACATCATGGCTTTTTATTCTTTGTTAAGAATGAAAGGTCTTTATTTGCAAGCAAGCAAAATGCAAATGCCACGCAAACACAACCACCATTCAGGACATCAGTTGGACCATTAGTATACACTTCCCATGAGACACGACCACATTCTGCCAGGACTGCTGACCTAGCTCTGTGATGCTGCTTTCTCAGCCTAATATCACGCTTGCTACTTGTTCTCCTTGTAGGGACCTACAGCCATGTGACTTTCTTTCAGACTTCTATCCTCCTTCAGCAGAAGGGATATGGCATAGCCCGTGTTTCCCATGAACAGCACAGAACTGAAAGCCATTAGCACATTACTCATCTAAAAGCCACACCACAAGGTCACTTCACAGCTAAGAGAGAAAAGGCTTAGGTTCATTCTTTTTTCTCTTCATTCTTGGGAGTTGGCTAACCCAAATAAGATTATCCAATTTTCATGTTTCAAATCAGCTTTAACAGTACTATACCATGTTTATTAGCAAAACATTAAGTGCCTGAGATCCTCACCACTCAGTTCCACTGTGGATATTGAACTGCTCCACCAGAGGCAGGTAGAGCCCTGTAACACACCATCTCCTGAGCAGCTTCATACAAGAAACCTACCTCTGCTATGCATGTCAGGATAATCAGGCACAGCTTGCCACTGTGCAGTCGGTGCTCATCTGCAAAGAAGAAAAACAAGTCCTCTGTGAGCCACACAAGCCTAGCAAGGCTGAAGAGCAAGACAGCTGTTGCAGCAAAAGAAAAGCCCAGCTTGGAGGTTATTCATACTCCTACTTCCTCTGGGATAGCTAATAGTCTATTCCCATTAAGCATTCACCCTCCAGCCTGTCCACTAAATCCCACCCCACAGTCTGCACTCACAGCAGAAGTTTCAGATTTGAACCTCCAACAGCACTGTAACTATCCACTGGGCTTCCGTCTCATTCAGTTTTACTTCCACAGCTACTCTAAATACTGGGGTTAGACCCTGTCTTTCTGTCATAGCAGAGACACACTGTTCCCTCTCCGAAAAGATGGAAAGAAAAACATCACCTTTGCTGTAGGTTATGAAACAAGTGGCAAAGCTTTGTCAGACGCACAGCACGGTGTAGCAGGATGTAGCACGGTGTAGTAGAATGACTCCTGACATTATGTTCAAAGTTCCGAGTTTTAACCCCAATACTGAGAGACACGACCTACTTTGCTCTGTGCAAAACTATGAAAGAAGGAAGTCTGCAAAGACTTAGCATTTTAAGCCAAAGAGTTTCACACTGATCATGTTCCACAACTTCTTATTCATCTCACAATTTCAAGCAGCTTTGACCTTGAATGACAATTGGAGGGCTGAAAGACTCACTAATAAAGAGGGACTAAGGTAGAAGAATGCAATTTTTACTTGGATTATTAAAAACTCTTCTCTCTCAATTTTAACCTTGAATATAAAAAACCCTCAAGATACACATAGTCATAGAGGACTGTAGGATGGAACAAGCCTCCGGTTCAATCTTTTCTCCAAGCAGTGCCAGGTAAGACCAGTTTGTTGAAGGCACTGTTCAATCAAGCTCATTTAAAAATCTTCGTTCTAAAAACCAAACCACTCACATCACACAATCCCAAACCCATAAAAACAAACACACAAAAAACAACAACATACCTATAACTAAATCCTGAAGTGCACATTCCTGAGACCTCAAACAGCTTTTCTAAAGCATAAAACTACTAAACATCCCATCCCAGGCATCTGCCTTAGAGTTAAACTTGGAGAAGATGGAAATATGAAAGAGTCAGACCCACTTTCATATAAATCACAAGACAGTCAAATTCCTTGCATCTTTGCAGATGACTTTTACAAACACTTTGTTAGCTGGTGTGTATATGGTAATCTATAGAAACAGAATGGGCTTAGCTAGCTGCTGTCTAGTCTGATGCCTCTTGTTTTCTTTAGTATGCTGCTGAGGGACAGATATTTACAAGAAGATAGGCCCTGAAGTATGCTGATTTCATCTTGCTTCACTAAGTAAGATGAAGAGGAATTTTGGAATGGGAGAGTTAAATGTCTCTCCTCTTTTCTTATCTCAGCTAAAACGTTTAAAGTTTTGTACTCCAGGAAAGCAGGAGAAATGGCCTCAAATAACACCGATACACAAGAGTCTTGTTATATTCATATTGTACGGCCTCCTTGTATACTTCTGTAGGTGCTGCTACCACTTCTCTCTCTGGGGATGATGCTGTAAAGGCTCATTTCACACCGAATACTCTGCCTTCCGCCAATGCTCTGTGAACATCACGTCATTTTCAGCAGCACTGGGGTAGCTATGCAAGCAGTTATTTGCACAGACACTTTGTATTTTCACAGCATCCTTCACTAAAGGAACAAAGCAAGCCACTTTCTAAGGGCTGAACCATAAACCCTGTTTCACCGATGGGAAAAAATGACACAGGTTTTGTTCCTCCCAAGGCAGCTGCCTCTGACTGACAACAAGAGGAGGATCTAGGAAACACAATCTATTAAATTATGTTCTCCAGGACAGGACCAAAACAACTGTCTAGTCCTGGATATGGAACAAACCAGTCTCCCCTCTAAGTGTTCCCACCTGTCTCAAGACACCTGGAGTAAATTGGAATTATTCATTCTTCTTGCTATATTGGTGTCACATAGAACCACAGAATTGTTTAGGTTAGAAAAGACCTTTTAGATCATGGAGTCCAGTTGTTAACCTAGCACTGCCAATCTAACCATGTCCCTAAAGTGCCACACCTACATGTCTTTTAAATACCTTCAGGGATTGTGATTCGAGCACTTCCCTGGGCAGTCTGTTCCACGCTTGACCTTATACAAGAAAAAAATTAGGCAGGGCTCCATCTAGAATCAAAATATAAGGACAGGAATATGCCCACTAGAATTAATAAGTACTGGTTCGGAGGGCACACTTTTTTTAAATGCTCAATCAGTGGAGCTCATTGCCACGGTGGGAGGGAGATTAGGTCTATCAGCCAGACCAATTTCAAACATTACACAAGCTAGAACCAAAGCAAAGAGAGAAACATCAACTCCTGTCTCATAACATAATAAACTCATCCCTTGTTGGTTTGTTTAGTAAGGAATCCCCTCTATCAGATTTCACTCCATCTGAAACTAATTCAGTTTGGCAGTTCCTGAGTCCCTGCACAGACTTTTCATTTTACGGTGACTAATAAGTGCAGAAGTTAAATTGAAAAACACAAATTTTTTCCATCAGAGATCTGGATCTGCAAAACAGACCCTGAGAAAAGCAAGTGAGAATGATTAGAGAGCTGGTAAACCCTCCTCATGTGTACAATCTATTAGAAATGACTGAGCAAAGACTGATGTGGTTTACTTCAAAAGGAAACATGAAAGCAGACTTCAAATACATAAAGGCTGACACAAAGAAAAAAGAAACAATCCATTCTCAATATCTATCTTGGAGAAGACAGACAGTAATTCAAACCCTAGCAAAGAATTTAGAAAGCATATGAGACTTTCTTACAATAAGGATGGTTAAATGGACAGTCTGAAAATGGTGCTCCACTATAACAGTGTCTTCATCCAACCTGTCAGCAACACCTCTGAGAAAAGATTCAGGTAAACCTGATTCTGCCTTGGTTTTGAGGAGTTGTCAAGGTTTAAACCCAGACAGCAACTAAATACCATGCACCTGCTTACTCACTTCCAGTGCTTCTCCTCTTTCCCCAGTGTGAAGGAGAATCAGAAAGAAAAAATAAACCACGTGGGTTGAGGTAAGAACAATTTAATAATTAAAACATCATCATAATAATCATCAGCAGAGTGAGAGAGGGTAACAGAACCCAAGAGAAGCAAGTGACGCACAACACAATTCATGATACAATTGCTCACCACCTGCTGACCAATACCCAGCCCATCTCTGAACAGCAACTGGCCCCTTTTGGGTAACTCCACCAGTATATCCACTAGGTGTGATATTCCATGGTGTGGAATATCTCCTTGGACAGTTCAGGTCAGCTATCCCAGCCATGCTCCCTCCCTGCTTTTTGTGCACTTCCTCACTGGCACAGCATGAGAACTGAAAATTCCTTGACTTAGAGTAAGTACTTCTTAGCCAGGGCCAAAATATCAGTGTGGTATCAATATCATTCAATACTGAATCCCAAATTCACAGCACTGTATCAGACACTAAGAAGAAAATGAACTGCGTCCCAGCCGAAATCTGGACAGGGGTGCAGTAGATATTTTCATAAAGTCCCTTTCGGTCCTAATTTCATTTATTCACTTTTTCCTCAACTAGCTTGCTTACTGAACAAGGCAGCCAAGTGTAACTTCACTGTAAGCTAGTAGGTACAAGGAAACTCTCCTGCCTGCTCTCTTATTCAATGCCAAGCAGTCATGAAGTTCAATAATTGATGTATCATAGCTCGGCAGATAACATCCTATTTTCATTCAGTTGCTACATCTAACTTAACAGCAAAAGTCAGTAATAGGCTAAAACATGGTGCAAAGATCACTTGTTATGTTCACACTATGGTCCTGCCCATACAACCACGGGGCAAAACAGCACCCTTGGGTACCCTGAGCAGGAGATGAACCAATACTTCAACTCTAGCAAGCTGAAATTAACCGCCACAGTACTAGAGGAGAAACAGAAAGCACAACATGGAAAGATACTTTCTCAAGCAAATTACTGCCAGTGCAGTGTAAGTCACTGCTGTCTTCTTTACAATTACATAGCTACCTGTTTAACTGCTAAGTATTAAAGGACAAAGAAAATATGTCCTCCTAATGCTGAGCTTTACCTCGTGCGTCAGTTTCTAAGTGTTCATTAAAGTACAGTTCTCTGGTCCCTGAGACTTCCCCTCTCTGACAGTTGGGAATCATATGCTCACACCTCCTGCATATGGACAGGCTTGGTTATTAGGTACTATAATCTATTATTAAATTCTTTTCATACTTGACATCTCTCCTGCCAGCATTAAGTCTGAGTCTCATAACTCTCATTTTGCAATAAGAAATCACTTAATTTTCCCAAAAGGTGGAATTCCTTTAAAGGGACTCCAGTTCACTTCTATTTCTGGAGTCACTAGACATATTCTTGTGACCTCCTCACTTCAAGAAGCACTGTTTGCTGCATCCACAGAATTCATTTACCTTTTGTGTCCTGCATCACAATCGAGCTGTACTTCAAGAAGGTTATCAGCAGGTTGCTGGTTTGCACATCAGCGTCCAAAGGTAGCTCTGCAGAGCTTATAACTGGAACAAAACAGATAAGACACATTTATCCTATACAAATACAAGAAATGACTATACAGACAACCAAAACATGGACTGACAGACCCAAGGCAGGATCAGCTTACTCGCAGGGCCATCTGACCTCCTCCTCCCTCTTGACCACCCAGGAAAGATTTTGTTGTGAAGACTGGTACCACTCCCTCAGAGACCATTTTCCTAAACTAAGCACAGGCTGTGATACCTGGCAAAGTGATATCCTTCCCTGTCCTGCTCCTGCTCCTCTCCCGAGGGAGCTCAGCTTGCTGTTTCAGCACTCATTGACATTCCCAGCCTAGGGAGCTCAAGATATTTGCACTGATATCCAATTAATTCTTATAACCAACACAGATAACATTCACACCGTTCTCAATCTGGAAAGAGATGTGCCCAGCAAAGGCCATTCTCTTTCATCCATTTTAGAATTTCCGTTCCAAAAGATCCACATCAGTTCTATTCTTCTCTCCCAGCAAGAGTCTGTCTTGCAGAAGCAACACACAAGACATAACGTAACAATTACTGACCAAAGCGGTAGAAAAGGGACGCAGGAAGAGCAGTTTTATAAAAATCAAGAAGCAAAAGCAGTCACACCTTATGCTGGATACATCACAACCCAGAAGGGAGCAGAAATGTACATTCTATACCTGCAGCAGTTCATTGGCATTTCTCTGGGATACTAGCTGTACTTTTGACATCTTAACAGTGGACATCATCTGCCTTAGACTTCACAAGAAGCCATCTCAATTCCTCAGCTAATTGCACAATGTGCCTCCTGCTCACTCCCCATGCACCATCTGAAGCACAGAGTTTATGAACTGTCAAACCCCTATCATGTGACTAAGCCACATTTTTACTGATGACTGTGCCCGAGCTGTCCTAAAGGGCTGTTCTCATCCTTCCCATTCAGAAAGCTTTATGAGAAATACTGAAAGGGATGAGCAAAAAGGTAAGTGGTAAAAATGCAGCATGCATTTACCTGCAGATCCTGCCAGTCTGATACCATTTAAGATAAATTAGCTCAGACAAAAGAAACCCCAAATTGATGGAGGTAGTCTAGGAAGACTTCAGTAAAGCACTTAATACAGTTCTGTATGAAAAATTAAGAGTGAAGCAGATAGGTGGGAACCAATACATAAATTTAATGTACATCAAAGCTCTGGTAAAGGAGAAGCAATTGGAGAAATTATTAGTCTGAGAAGAAACTACTGCTTGAATTCCTTAGGTGTCACTTCAGATAATAGTTCTCATTTTTGTGAGTGATCTGGGCACAGGAAACAGTTGCTTGCTAATTAATCTAGAGCATGGTGCTAAAAGCATCAAGGTTGTGGAGTTCAGTCCCCATATGAACCATTCACTTAAGAGCTGGACTCGATGATATTCGTGGCTCCCTCCCAACTCAGAATATTCTGTGAAATCTGCTAATTGCACAAAGTTGGGACATGTAAACACAGAGGAATATCAGACTGCGCACAAAGTATAAAAACATGAACACATAATAAATAGAAGATGAAATTCCACAATGTTAAGCCATAGGATCAGTCAGGAATTCAGGCATTTATTTGCATGGTAAACCTAGAGTTCATCAGTTGCCAACAAAATACCATGATACACTATCAGATCATGAGATGACACACTACCAACACAAAGGGTTCAAGAGTGGTTCTACATATCCAGAAATGCACTTCCAGCAGAGACAGGAACACTGTAATGCCTGGCACAAGGTGCTGGTGAAACCTTGTCCCAAACATCGTCCATAGCTATGCGGAACCCATGTTCAAAGGGGATGAACTTAAACTTGAAGAATATTGGAGAAAGGCTAGTAGGTGGAACAGAGGAAAAGAGTACCCTTCTTGTGAGACAGCAAAATACACAGGTGAGTACCCAATGCATGAAAAAGAGCTGTGTTTCAAAGGAAGGTTAACAGCAAGAGAAATGACCACGAACTGACAAGAAATGCAGGTTGCAAAGTTGAAGATTTCTAATCGAGGAACAAGATGCTGAAACTGCCCCCAACAGAAATTACTGGGAAACAAATTAAGTCAGAGTTTGATAAATTTAAGGGATGGATATGCCTGTGAGCATAGGGCACTAGTAGTCAAGGGGATCTTTTCCAGCTCTCCATACATGACAATAACATGGTTGTTCTGGCTGCTTAGAAGCTCAAACTCACAGGTTTTCACGTGCGGGAGATCACAGGTGGCTTGAATTACAGTTGTCAGAAGGCCCTCCTCTCTTCTCAAGCAATAGAGACAGCCTAAGATTGGGCTCCTTTTGCACTGGAAACAGATCTGCAGACCACTAGGACACATCTTAAGAACTGTATTATCTCTTTTCCATCTATCCTCAGGAATGCCCAAGGTTTTTCTCACTCTTGAGGAAAGAAAAAGGTATTTATGATGAGATTGGACCTTGCAAGAAGTGAGGAATTACTCATACTGATTGTTGGGTGTCTAGGTTGGGGGCTCTGAAGGGAAGTACTTTGATCCTGTACACAACTGTGTTTTGGTTCAGAGAAAAGTCTGCTTTAACAGACAATGCCTTTCACAATTCAAGGCTTGGATCTCACAACCCTGTAATGAAGAAAGTGAGGCTTATTTACCCCCCTGGAACTGGGGCAAGGACAGGCACAGAAAGATGAAGGAGATGAACCAACAGTAAAATGCAGTATTCTTTAAACTGAGCACAGAGAGGCCCAGAACACAGCAGAGGTTCTTGTGGAGCTCAAGATTATACAATCACCTTGAATACGAAATTGTAGCCCTCGGAAACAACAGGTCAAATAGATCAGTGTAACTTCTCTGTTTGAATCACATTAAAAAAAAAAATTCCATACTAGGGCTTTCAGCTTCTAAAGGTTGCACATCCCCAAGTGTGAGCTGGTTTAGTCCATTCAGGCTTGATGCCCTGGGGCTCCTGACACGTTGCAAACGTGCCGGGTCTGTTGGCAAAACCTATGCAATAAGACTGGAAGCTTTTTCATTCCCAATACTATGAATAGCTCAAAGATTCAGCTAAAAGTCTGAAAAATGTATTTATATCCCCAGTGGGTCCTTCTTGAGCTGTTACAATAGTGAATGAATATTTAACAACAGTAAGCAAACTGACATTTAGATAACTATGGTGACAGCCACACTTGATTTACATATTATGGATCAACAGTTTCTAGCAAAAGTCTGATTTTCTTGGGGGGGAAAAAAAAAAAAGAAGAAATCACTCTGAAGAACACATCCCTGCTTATCCTGGTTCATGCTACAGACCTTGGTGGGTTTTTTTAAACTCACATTTGGAAACTTTACAAGCTCTGAATTCACACTATAGGCTAACAGCCAGAGAAATTTCAAACCAGAATATGAACCCATTTTTAATCCCAGTCAGCATAAAAGAAAAGTGCCTGAAACCCATAGAGGGATTTCTACATGTTATTGTAACTTGAAAACTACACATTTTTTTAATGCAGGAAAAAGAAAGCAATCTTTTCATTCCAAAGCCAAAAAGCCTCTTGCTAACTTTCAGCCAGAGGCAAATTTTACATCGAGTTGCAACGCCTTAGAAAATGAGGAAAATTCTGACATATTCTTAAAATAACTGCAATGCTTGAGCATCGCCAAACTAAACCAAGCCGAGGGTCACAAAAAAAAATATCACTGAGAGTAGGGATCAGCAAGGTGACAGCAAATATGGAATGCTTCTCGATGGAGTTGCTGCACATTAAGATCAGATCCTCTTCTTAAATTTAGTAACCTTGTAAGCCACAAGAAGCCTTGAACTTTACAAGATCACTGCCTCTGCTTAAAGCAGGATGGAGTTTTTGTTTTGATTCTGTTTTGTCTTTTGGTAACTGATAAAAAGCCGTAGATGTAGGTAAGCACACGTTCCGTCAGTTGTGTAACATGGCGTGTGGGCGGGTACATTTGTAATGAACACGCTGAACACAAGCCCACAAAATGCCCGTCCCTCCACATTTCATGTTACGTGCACACAGAGACTTGAGACATAGGGGACTTTCTTTCTGAAGCTTTTGTTGTCCATGGTAACCAGACAGAATTCATCCTGAGGAGGCTCATCCTTAACTAGGGTATCAAATGACCTGAATAGCTGATAGAACTGAGTAACCCAGGCTGCTTTTCCCAAGAAATATTTCCAAACTGTGCTCTATTCAAATTGACTCTGTTCCTTCATTAAACACTTTTTTCAGCTCTAGAAAAAGTATGTGCCATTAAAGTACGTGACAATAGCCTTTAATTTCTTCTCTTAAAATAGGCCCTATTTATCCATACCTTAAATTGCAAGGGTTTTATTTTAGGAGATTGCAAAACATATTTATGTGGACTTGTAACATTTCAAAGAAAGATCTCGGGGTAAGCAGTTTTTTACAAAGCCTATCAGAGAAAAGGCAGTAAGAGGGAAGAATACTTTCCCACCCAAACAGAATTCAAATCCCAATTAATTCAAAGCTGAGGACAAGTGCATTAATGACAAGCAGGAATCCACTGCAATTCTCTGTAAATCTGTTCCAATGACAAATAATCCCAAGCAAAGGACCTGACACTAGAAATATTCATAAGTAAAAGCCTACATAGAATAACTAATGGGTTGGCTGTATCTTCATGCAGATATTGGGAGAGTACTGTTTTCAGAAGGAATATCAGCATAATTTCATTGAGCAATATACAATGAAACAGAAATAAATTTGAGTCAAAGAATCTCGCTCATGTTCAGTAAGGCAAGTCGCTTCAGGAAGAGACCATCAGGTTACATCTGCTCCAGACAGATCTCATTAGCTGCCATCTTGAGAAAATACTTTGTTAGTTATTTTACAGTTTTCAATTATTTTTCCCCAGGAGATCATTACATTTCTTACCATCTGAAGAAGGCGGGGTGGTTCCAAGTGGAGTGACAGGTGTCATTGGAATTGGGCTTGTTGGTGTTGTCATCAGGCCCATTTCAGGATGGCTCTAACAGGAGACACACATGCACAGATCAATACCTTCCCCAGCCATTAGAAACACAGATCACTACTTCTACTGTTCCACACTCTCACACAGACATGACTAATGAAGTCTCAAGAAACTTTAACCTCTCCTCCAAAATGCCAGGCCATGCTTTCTGACCTTGGACATCTAACAGTTAAACAGTACATCAATTTCTTTATTCTCCAAAACATGAAAATATATCAGAAAGTGGTGCCTCTCCCCAGCAGACAGAAAATACTCCCATGCAGAATGGGAAAAGGTTTGCAGAAGCCCACACTGCTTATAGCTTGATTCCCCCCCAAAGAACCCAAGGATGTGCATTTCAAGTCTTCCTCCAAGATCCTGTAATTTCTCTTTCTAAAAGCAAATTCTCCCCACTCCTGCCACCCCCACCTGTTCATATTCAAAGATGATGGCAATACATTACTTTCCTGTCTCACTATAAAGCCCAGACAATGCAGGAAAGGAGTGGATAACATAAATAACACTATCATTATCGATCCTTTCAGCTTCCATCAGTCAGTTACTCTCCCCATTTCATCTTTGCTAATAGTTGCCTGCCCAATTACTGCTCTGACTTTACTCTTTGCAAGCTTCCGGATCTATCCACGCGCTGGTGAGAGTGTAGGCAATCTGCTATTTTTGAGTCTGGCTGCCAAGCAAAGTGTCCATTTCATGGGGCAAGTTTTACATAAATGTATCATCTGCTTTAATACATCATCACAATTTCAAAATAAAAGAAAGGTACAGAACTGCTGATTTGACGTTAGTTCCGCAGGATTTTTCACAAGTGGATATCCTCCACACTGCCTCTGAATAGCTCATTTTATGAGCAACTATAAATGCATGTAATTTTTGGGAAGCACAAACACACGTACTACAACTCAAACACAATTCTACATCGCTACTGGTCCCGACTTAAAACTTTAAAATACAGTTTTTCACTGTAAGTCTTACATAAGCCAGGTTTGCCTCCACAGATTTTTGAGGTTTTCCTTCTTTATCCCAAACAGTAAGTGGTAGTTGAGAGACAAGAGTGCCACCCAGCAGCAAACCTGAGCACCCACGGCTGGTGAGTACATGGAAACCTTATTGTTCCATACGTCCACACAAATGAATCCCTGCTCTTCCCATGTGTCTCACAGCAGCAGGGAGCCATTCATGCAGTGCCAAGCAATGGACATCAACTTAGGCAACAGCATTCATCAGCTTTTATGAGGTTTTTCCAACATGACATGACCTACGTTGCTCTCTCTTAAATGAAGGATTACAGACACTCCACCCAAGATTAGCAGGCCTCCACATCAATTAAACCCACTGATCAGTGGCTGTTTCAGCTATTACTTCCACAAATAACTAATCTATCCTTTTATTTTTAAGAGCTTTTACTCTAGCTGATCTTTTTCTGCCCTACTCTTTTTCCTGCCAAAGGTCTCTCTACCCTCAGGAATATCTTGACCACAGAAAGGCCTGAGGTGGTATTACACAGAACTGAAAGAGCAGAAATCTCTCAGAAGTGGTAGGAAAGAATAACCTGGCAAAAGACAGGCAGGGAACCTCAGCAAATTAACCATCCGTGAAACAGAAGCTTTCTTCAGAGACTGCAGATCTGCTTATCAGACCTCTTCCATCACCACTACTGTCAGGAGTCCTCAAAGGTCTCCTCCATCACGCCAAGTGTCCAGCCTATGATGTATGACTATTCTCTGAGGACCTGAAATAACTAGGGAAAGGTGCTAACTGTTTTGCTGATGTCGTTTTTCTCACAGATTACTACCAATACCTAGAAACCAAAATTAAAAGACTAAACCTGAAGGTTTTCCTAGACACATCAGGCTACTTTTGCAGCCAGCCACAGCACAATCCCTAGATCAGACAGGCTTATTATCTGCCTTCCAGCAATAACCACCTTTACAAACTCACACAGTGTTTAGGAAAGCATCCAATGCTTTGTGATCAGAGGTATGAGCAGCCCACTGCTGCTCAGAAGGCTGCCATAGCTGTTCCTCCACCATAAACAGCACAAGGACAAGTGCTATGCTCCAGCAACAGGTTCCCAAGCAAAACGGGTTGGGCAAAACAGACAACACCATGCAGTCTGTGCACACCCATACAGGACAATTCATCCAAGTCTGGAGCTGAATCAGTCTCTTTCTCTCAATACCAACTTAACAAAAGTGTGATTTGCTCTAAGAGCTGCAGCAACCTTATCCCTACTAGTTCACTCACTCCATCCTCCCCCTAGTGCAGTATCAGTAGAGCACAGAAGGCACTCCATGCAGCCCTTCCCATTTAGTAGGAAAAATGAATAATTCCAGCTTGAACTGTGACTTCAAAACTCTACTGATTTTCTGTCAAGGAAGGAAGCATTTCCTAAAATGCTTCTCAGGCCCTGGCCTGCTTCTGATCTTTCATGCTGATCCTATGACAAGTATGCAGGGGTGTACATCTTTTCACCGATTCCATTTCTGACTCTCTAATTTCAAACACATGCACTACAAAGAAATGGGAAAACATTCCACTGAAACTCACCTGTGCCAGAACTGTGATGAAATTCCGGTTTAAGTGAACAGCTTCATAGAGGGCCAGAAGGATTGCTTCATTCGTTCTGTGGGAAGGACACAGACAAAGGCACAGTTAGTGATCAGAGTACTAGAAGTCAAGTTTTTCAGAAGTAGGGCCTATCTGAAAAAAGAATTTTTTTTTTTCAACTATAGAAAATTCTGCCTCTGCAATCCAGTTGTTCCTCCAATTACTAGTAGTACTTAGCAATGCATAAAAATAGCTATTTTTAGAGATCAACTACAGACTTTGTTCCCTTCCTGCTGAAGGTGTCCCTCGTTGCTCAAACAGTGCTTTCCCTTTGAAGTCCTTTCTTTTAAGGGCAGAGGGTCCTGCAGATACCAAAACCCCTCATATTTATCACTTGTTCCCTTGATTTAGAAAATATTTTGGTGGGGACAAGACTAGATGAATCATCTCTTCCCATGTGCCACCTCCAATATGTCTATTATATGTTATAAATACCCCATAAAAAACACTGCATTTTTTTTTTATAGACTTCATTACAAGCAATTCAGCTGTGGCTCCTCCTGCTGCACCCTTCCCACTGAAGGGAGAATCCACAGTTTTCACGGGTGTGGTACAATTTTAGTGACAATAGAACCTGCCCCTCCTGTTTGCTGTGTGACATTAGAACAGCTCCATGACAGAGTGGATCTCACTGACCAGCTCATTGTGTAACTAACATCTGTGCACTTACTGGACTGAGATCTTCTCATCAGCATCTGCTATGAACATGCTGCCCACCTATGGAAAGAGAGAGCATTGCACAGCAGGAATTTGGGAAAGCTATTAGGCAACAAGAGACAATACATGGATACAAACAGATGTGATTTTGCAGTCCTGTCACTGACCAAGTCTTCACCTGTCAAACCACAAAAAAAGGAAAAAAAAACCAGCTGGATCTTGGATCCCTATCTTGATTAGTCTGCCATTCTGTAAGAGGACAACAGAGATTGTTTCCTATCTGCTTGCCCCAGAGTGATAGCAGTTTCACCCAAGTCACTCCTGACAGACAGCTGTTAACAGTGAACTATCCTTACTTAAAGGAAATTTTCCTGGCAGTCAGATCTCAGACTAAAGCAAGGCCAAACTGAACAAGGGTAACAGTGGATACTCTTCACAAGGAAGAAATTCAGAATTGCCTTTGAAGAGTACCCCTCCAAAAATGCAGACAGTGCCCACTACAGAATCCAAGCTTACTCCATGGCCATTCAATACGCCCAGACTTGAGAAACAAGACAGTAAAGAAACAGAACCTCTAAAGCTAGAGACAGCCCAGACTGTGCCACTCTGTTTTAGGCCACATCAGCAGAGTACTGGGGTTTTTTGTTTGTTTTGGGGGTTTTTTGTTAGTGGTTTTTTTTAAGTAGCCATTTAAAAGTGATTAATAAGTTTAAAAACTGATCTAAAGGGGTTTTGTTTAAGTGATTTTTAAAATACAGTCAACTAGAATGACAGCAATGCAGGAGAACAATTTCAACTATCAACACCAGAACAGAGATCTTGTCTTTTGAAAGAGCTCTCCCAGCCAGACAACACCACAGTCCTCAGAATACAGCCATTTTAGTTGTATTTGGTTTGGATTCATTCAATCCATGCCTGCAGAACCCACATCCCAAACTCACAGTTTACAGAAACACCCTCCTGCTGGACTTGCATGAAGACACTTATTTTAAGGGTAGAAAAAAGACGGCTTCCTTGCTTACCATATTAGTTAGGGCTGAGAAGAAACCAGTCTGATGCTCCTCTTCCTTATCTTTGTATTGCCTGAACAAAAAGGAATAAGGATGAAGTTTCGGGGTTATACATGGAACTAGGGTTATTTTACCTAAATCCCTATAAGATAGTCTAATCTGATAAGTAGACAGGATGGAGGAAGCTTCAACATTCACAAGCCTTTTTCAAGAAAGATGCAAAGAGTATTAAAATATTTGAAAACTGTGTAGAGTTGAAGTGGGGTTGTTAAAAGACATGAGAGTTGAACAATGCTTGTGCTGTTACAGAGGACATGGGTAGCCTGGGCTAACACTGAAGGAAAGGACTCGAGTGACTTAGGAAATTTTGTCCTGCACTGGAAAAACAGTAATAAACCACATGAAGCAACAGAGTCAGTAACCACAGAACAGTTTCATTTCAATCATCTGCTACAGACCACATCAGAGTTGGTCACCCTAGGGCCTCCAGAAACCATGCAGACCATTATAGTTCATGGCCTGATCCCACATTCCTGGAGCAAGTGTAGAGACTGGAACTGAAGTCAATGAATAGGTTGGGTACCTCAGATTTAAGCTACGTTGCTACATTTGGCATTCAAATGGACTAGGAAAGCTCACATGGCCATTTATTATGTCTGTCATACAGAAGTCTCATCACACACAACATAACATGCAAAATAAGCAATTCTAAATATTTGGAAAATGGGGAAGAAAGCACTGAGATAAACAAAACAGGCCATGGTCTGAGACAGCTTTTGTCACAATGAAGGAAGCTGGGTCGGTGAGGTTTTTCTGCTTTACTCTGATAATTAACTCTGTTACATACATGATTTGCTGATCTTGCAAGTCACTTGCATAACTAAAACAGCAGAGTTTCAAAGGAATTAAAACATTTATCTGGATACTTAGAGAATCCTACTTCACCAAAAAATGTCATGTGTTCCTCAGGTAAAATTGCTGTAAGTACTAAATTTTTCTGAAGCACTTTCCTCTTTGGAAAATGTACCCATTTTGTGGTGTTGCATATGAAGCAGAGGTCTGGGAACATGCCACCCTGCTGCTGACTTTCTGGCTCTTTCTTCAGCAGCAGTTACTGCTTTCCACCATTTGGAAGTGCATGATTGCCCTAAGCATCTCTGATCTGGCATGTGGACAGGCCTGGATACATTTGTTTGTTTGTTTTAGACAGTTTTTGAGTTTAATCCATTCTCTAACAGAGAAGTTCTCAGCAAATCATTGATCTTTTTATTTGGGACTAAGATTTTACACAAGGTTCATACAGAGGTAAAATCCATGACAGTAAAAACATACAATAGATATCTTCCCCTAGAGCAAGCTCTCTCCTGAAGCAGCTCTCCTGAAACCCAGCTGGTAGAGATGGATTCACTCTTGCAATGACATCAACAACTGAGTCAAAGTATCCTAAAGCACAGGTCTATTCCCTGTCTCTCTGGATGCGTCAAGCCTATTAATGCTTCAGCATTAAAAAAAAAGCTTGTGAAAATGTACAGCAACTATCCTGTACTGCAAAACAAGACACAATTAGGTTTTACCTGTTATATTCCGATAAAGCCTGGGCAATTACAAGTCCCATTCCCTGAAAAAAAAGGGTTAAAAAAACTTCACATTACCAATCTCAAGGGAGGAAATCGCACACTGAACGCACGTAGCAATGCTGCCCTCCCAGATAACCTAGCATGCTATGAAGAATTTCCCTTGTAGATGTCTGAACTCTTAAGACATGCTATGATACAACAAAATTATAAATCAAAAATCAAGACACCAAAATTTAAAGTTATATATTTAATTACTAAGTTCAACAGAGAACATTTACTCTCCTTGGATCTCCAGACAGAGCTTACTCACTCAAGAAGCTTCATTAAAACACCAAGTGCTTCAGAAGGAAGATGGTGTCAGAGGAAAGACATCCAAAAATTCAAAACAAGAGCCATAAACACCAGTAACCTTTGACTTCTTGCAAACAGCCTCCACCAGTCCACAACTACTGAGCATCCTTTCTGTCAAGCCAATTTAATTAACTCAGAATCACTCTTTAGTTAGCACAGAGCCTGCTTTTTACTTCATGCCTAAAGAACAGTTTCCAAGTCCAGACCTCCATAGCTCAGTGTGCTGTCACTTTTTATCTACGCCTGGCTACAAAACTTAAGACTGTGGCTACAGCCCAAAATATGTTGTAGGACTCTTGACTCAAGTACAAGCTTCCATTGAGCTACAAGAATTAACTTTTGGACTGGTAAAACTGGGTGACACAGCATTGGAAACGAGATCTTTGGCATATGCCATCATATGCCCCTTTGGCATGTGACAGCAAATAGTGTATAGATAGTTCATAAATGTATAGTAGATAAACTTTAAGCATGTTTTTCTACCTAGCTTTTTAACCACCCCCACATTTACTGGAGATCAAACTGTCCAAACCACGAGTGGCCTAATCCATTGCAAGGGTACAGTTAGGGCTGAACAACCCCTGTACTGGTGTTCCTCAGAGTAGCACTGTTCCTAGGCCTGATTTCTACAATTTCTTCAAAAATGTGCTTGCATTCGTTCCACTACCACCACACATGAAAGAGCATCCCCAGCAGCACAGAGGAATCAAGTCAAGTACTCACATTGAGCGTGGCCTCATCATCCACGATGGAGAGCTTCACAATGTAGGGATTCACTGACTGCTCAGCATGAGGGGAGAAGGAAGAAAGAAAACTGGTTTTAAGTTCAGCCTTCAGGAAAAAAAACACACTATTATCTTTTCAAGTTTACCCAACCACCTGGGGAGAATCACTCTCCTGTCCCATAAAATAGAATACACGCAAAGAAACAGGAGTCACAGCACTTGCTAAGGTTGCTGTGCCTGGGACACCTTCTCCTTAATGGTTCAGCCAAGCAGTCTCCTGATTTTGTTAAGAAGAGAGGGAGTTTCTGCCCCTCTGCAAGCTCATCTGTCAGTCTTGAAAGTGGAGCAGCTGTCCTGCAAGCCTGTTATCTGTGACACACACACTGTTATGCAGCAGGAACAGGCAGTGAAGCTGTGACGGAACATCAGCGTTCTGCTATCTCCCTTCTGCAACACCTCACAAAGATTGCTTTAAGGAAGGAGGACCCAGGAAGGCACGACAATGTTGTAGACTCATCTGCTGCTGGGTTAAACATCAACACCTTGTTTACACCACTAAGACCTGGAAGTCTCTGGAAAATATAAATTCCTTGAACTTAGCTGAACAAAGCATGCAGGCTCCACCTATAAAGTTAAACGCTAATGATTTAGGAAGCATTTTAGATTAGCAATGCACATTTGTTTTTCCTGGTTTATATGTGTCAGTGCAAAACTAAAAAATGCTGATTTCAAACCTAGACACGGAAGAAAAGTCTGTCTGTGTAGTAAGTCCAAAGTTATGGGAAGAATAAAACACAAAACATGCATCAGTTGCTTGACAGTAAGTTAAAAATAAGGTTGATCAGAAAACACCACTCTCAACTATTTGGTGCTTTGGGAGGATCAGTCCTTCTCTTTAAATCAGAAAAGAAATTGATCAGAATAGTTCAAAGCTCAGCCAGCCTCTCAGCTGCCTCCAGGCAGCACCCAGCCCTGCCGCTGCCTCAGAAAAAGCACAAAACCCACACAAAACCAGCCGTGCATGAACCATGGAAAGACATTTCCTTGAGGCTGGAGTAAAGACTCCTATGGATTAACAATAGGGGGTCCTCTCTGTACAAACATGCTCCCCTTCAGAAACTAAATTTAGTCAGCGCCAGCGGAGCAGAAGCAAACTTCGCAAAGTCATAATTAAATATGGATTAAAATCCATCCTTGTAAATATATCTTAGCTTTGCTGATTTCAGTCATTCAACAGGGAAAAACTTCCCTCACAAGAGCTCATGCACAGAAGAGACCAGCCTGTGACTCATGACCAATAAAAGTGATGGGGTTTTTCCAGGCAATGGCCCCCAGCTACCCTGGATTAGAGGTTGCAGGGTTACCCAAATTCCCAGATGTGGAAATAAGCAAACTGGGAGATACTACCCTGACCAACACCACCAGGCTGACCTGACATCTAGTCATACAGTTGGTCCCATCACAGAGAGGGAGGGAGAGTGGGTTCCTTGTCATCTCCAGCCTATGAACAGTTCTTCACACTCCCGCTCTCCTTGATTTTCCAAGATGCATGCTCCATGTCTCCCGCCTCTTGGCACCAAGATGCCAGCAGTGTACAGCTGAGAGGGTCATGAAGCTGGTCCAGTTTGCTTTGGATCTCTGCTCTCTGTCTTTTCAATTGTCACTTCCACACCTGCAGAAGTCTTTTTAACAGTTCCTCTCTGAAGTATTCCATTCCCCTGACACATTCCATGCCTCCTTCTAGGCTTCCCTAACTCCTCAAGCAGCAGGCAGATTTCAGTGTATTTCACGCACCGTATGGGGTGTGTGGGACAAGGCAGTCTCTGCTGCCTTCCAGTATGCAAGTCTGTTCCAGTGTGATGGGAACCTTTCCAATGCTGACCATAGGACATGCAGTTTGTTCCTGCCCCTCCTTGAGAGCCACAGCTCCAGTTACTGTCCATGAGCACCAGTCTGCACATTTATGACGAGTGTCAGCAACCTGCAAGTTGTACAAGCACCCCCACCAAACCTATCCCATACTCCCTGCCTGCTTTCCTATTCTAATCCTGCTGTTTCAGAGTTCAGTTCCCCTCTCACCAGGAATCAAAGCAGAAATCTGAAAAGTCAAAATTACACCTACCACTCCACAACACGCACAGGCAAGCAACAGCCTTGGAAAGAAGTTAATAGGCATTCTGAAAGCTTCAAATTGTCAGTGAAGCAGTTACACAATTAGTTAGAAATAGTTTCTGCCTCTACCTGCAGACAGAAAGAACTCAAAAATATGATTCTGAGCTCCTCAGACAGCACAGGTCTTTTCCTATCACTGCCATCAGGTAACAAACAAAAAATAGCATTGAAATCTTCTTGTCAGTCATGACATACAGACACAAACTCCTGGAATCCGGGAATACTCACGATGTCCTCCATGAACTACCCATCATTAGATGCCAACAATCTCATAGAAATGAAGCTGCAGGGAATCATTACCAGGTAATTTTGAAAGTACTCCCCACTTGGTGACAAATGCCATACCAAGTGAGTATTATATGGGAAACTACACAAGTCTAGCAGAGGGACATGACCTCCATGCCTTCAAACACATCTCTGAGACCTTCAACACAAATCTGTGGAAGTAATTTTTTAGGTAGATAAAGAAAGCAGAAAAAGCCCAACCCAACCATGTATAATCCCTACTTAGGTGCTTAACTTTTCTTCACATCTGTAACAGAAACGAAGGTCAGAGTCCGCTCAATCACCCCTCATAAGACCTTCTGCTGAACAGTCATTAGAGATTATTCAGCAGAGTCATTCTGCAGGGAACTGAAGCTTGAGTATTACTCTTTTTGTTAAAGAGATTTGTTTAAAATAATTTGTTATGCAAGATAATTTTTTTAAAATAAAAACAAAAAACCCCATGAACTTTCCAGCTCTCCAGTGTTGTGTCTCTTCAGCACCTGCAGTTGTCTATATCAAGGAGAGGCAAGTGCACATAACCAGACACGAAGGGTTGTTGGATACACTCTAAGTAGTCAGGCAATTTGAGAGAAGACTACAAAATTCACATCCCAAAAACATGAAAGAACATCCTGATGCAAAACACACTGGTATTCGCACTAAAGACAGACACAAAATCAGTCAGCTAATTAATTTTCGACCTTATTAGATTTTCTTAAGCTGGAAACACAACTTAGTGACCAATGGAGTTCAGACAAAAGGAGAACCTATCAGCTGCAGCTTAGTTAGCTAATAAGAGAATTTCAAAGCATGAAAGTGTGCTACAATACACTGACAACCAGGTAACCACCAGAATAGTTCTAAGGGCAAAGGAACAGCAAATGAAAGCAGCTACTGTACTTAAGGAGAAAGAGTCTAACTGCATTACTACAGGCTTTGCTTGTAGCACTGCTACAAAGGGGCAGTGTTGGGCAATTGTCACATAAAACCTTTCTGGGAGTTGCTTTCAACCTTGCCAGATGAACTGCTCAAGCTGAAGTTCCCCTTGCCACACATCTGCTCGGCTGAATTGTACTTTTTAAGGATCACAATTTCCTTTGGGTGCCAAGTTTCAAGACATCTAGGACAGTGTTCTCCAAAGCACTCAACTCCAAATCAGTACTCCACAGAAAGCTACAGCAAAGAGCAGAGGACAAGTCTCACGTACTCACTGCATTCTACCTCACAAAGGACATAAACTACATTCCACAGGGGTCCATACCTCAGGGATGGGACTACACAGCTCTCCACCTTTTGGTCTGAACGTTGCAAAGAGACCTCTGGTCTTTCCAATCTGCCCTTATCAGTACCCTTAGTCATGCAGTTCCCAACAGTTTTCCCTCATAGCCATAAAATGAAATCAAACTCCATGCTACTACAGCACAGATTGCTGAACAGAATCTGTAATTCACTATTCTGACAACATTGACAGGAATGAGAAATCGACAGGCATTACTTTGACACCAAGTATAGCTCCTGTCTGTGCATATTCTCTAGGTCTATTCATAATTCAAAACAAGATCCATTATAAAAACAGATAGGTTTTGAAGCCTGTCCCTCCTGGTGATTCTGTTCAAGAAGGGGCATTCCAGAACTTTCCCATTTGTTGCCTAGGTATATTAAGGTATTCCTACTTGGGGAAACAAAAAAAAGCACCATGCCTCATGCAAAGAAAAGCCAACAGCAAATGTTTTTCCAACAGTCAAAATGTTTTTCAAGGTGATGAATAACAGGAAAAAATGGGACTACACCACAAAGTAGTACAGCCGGTTTAGAAAAAGGAAAACGAATAAAGTTCCTCAAAGAGGAATCCATCAAAGAGACAGAGAGAGATTTCTCTTAGAAATACTAGCTATGATGTTTCAGTTCATTCTTTGGTCACAGCTTTGCCATCTCTTCTGGGAATCTGTGCTCTTTCAGCCTGCTAGTCAGGTTCTGAATCACAAATTCAGTCTGAAGCCCAAGATGACTGACAGCTCGTTTAACTTTGGAGAATATGTATAACTGCACACTCACACACGCAGAGGCAAACACTGGTTTGGCACAACAATAACTCTTCCAAAAGGACCTTCCTCAGAATATTTCTACGAAGGAAACGCAAATCCCCTAGGTAGTTTATTTCATACTGGTGCAAAATGAGTTGTAGGAATATCATACACATTTGATTACAGACGTACATCAGAGACAGACACAGCACAACAGGACCGCCTTGCAAAGCTTCTGCAGCTCAGTGCTGATGTGTGATAAATGTTACAGTGTGCAGTCCTAAAAACTGTACTGTGTGCTGCCTTAATAACAATCCACCCTAAATTAATAAGGTAGAGAGAAGTGATGTTTCTGTTATCCAGATGAACACCTACCTCATACTTTCTGTAGTTGACCAGCAAGGCCAGAAGGACAACAGCATCATACCCGTGTTCCCTGCGACTCAGTGGGCTGGACAGGATCTGGAATAAACAATCGCACTGGTCTGTTCAGGCCTGCTTCAGGAAGCTTGCAGTGACTCTCAAAGTGCATACCCATGAAATGTACGTGTAAGAGCAAATTATGTCCTATCTGAAAGAGGGTACTTAAGGTCAAAGGATTGCCAGCATCTACAGGAAGTTATGCACACAGAGAAGCTTATTTATCACAGAAAGAATGCACACAGGCTTTCAGGACATAAAGGGCAAATATATTTCTCAACAGCACTGGACAGTATCTCAGTTAATCACCAACATTATTTGTGCAAGTTTTCTGGATTTCCCCAAGCTCAGTTCCACTTCTAAAAACTATAATTTATCAAAAAGCAGAAAAAACTTCTGGGGTTTTTTTCTGGGATATATCCCCACTGCCTTTTGAAAAAAGGTTTCTCTGATACATAAATTCTCCGTTAAATTAGCCCAGAAATCTGTTCAGTTTCTATCTGTGCAGAAATGTCTCAAGTGAAAATAAATACTCAGTAGTGACTAAAAACAGCAGACTAGAGTACAGAGTAGACAGCACTAAAAAAAAATATGACTGAGTTATGAATGGAAGCAGCAACAGCGCCAGTGAGCTAAAAAGCAAATACGTTACTGAAAGCTCTCACTATGCAAGAGGAGCCCCTGCAGTGAAGGAAGAACCCTTACCTGTAAAATAGCTTCAAATATGCTGTTAATCATCACATACTCCAGGATGGTGTTCTGGCTAATGTTATCCGTCACCTGAGTACAAACACAAGTTTTAAAATCCCACACGAAGCCTCCACTGATGCTGCAGCTGCCTCTGGGAGCTGTACAATGGGAACATGAGAGTTCTACTCCCAGATGGACACATTTATCCAGAATCTCACACTTAGTCAGCAAGTCAAGGTGTGACTAGCAGCAGAGCTAGACATGAAGTAAAAGAAATACATCCTGCCTCCCATCCCTTTCTCTGGCAAGAAGCACGACCCACATACTAAGAGCTCCCCCTTTCCTCCACACATTGTTTTCTTATACAGCTGCACAACAACAGCCATCAGCTGTTGCACACTCTACACAGGAGGTAAAAAATGAAAAACACGGCACATATGCTCCACTGAGTACTCTCCCCATCACGAAGAGGGCAGTGAAGACCTCCTCCACACTCAGTTATCTCTTATCACAGTCAAAATAGTTCACATTTGACCGTCTCAAGAGCTGATGAGTGGCCAGTTACTACACTTCCTCATTCTTCACATTCTCACCATTCTTGTCTACTCCACACTTCCTGTCTTTCCTCAACCCCTCTGCCTTTCTTTCCATTTATCTGAGACTTCTTAAATATCATTTTCACTAAAAAAAACCCCACACCTGTGAATCCAATTGACAATCCTGTGAATCCAATCCTGCCTCTCCCCTTTTGCCCCAGGCACTCATCTTACAGGATTCCAGTCTGCATTGGCACCATGGTTAGAGCCATGATGCATATTCTGGACTGGCCCTTGTTCTCATTCACAATTTCTTTGCCCTTCCCTAAGCTTCCCACTGCAGCCTTCTGCTGAAGTTTTGAGACAGTTCCATCCCTAACATGTGGCTCATGTAACCCCTGAAGTTATTATACAGCTGGTATTTACTTACAGTCACCAAGCAGAGAAGTAGCTTCAGACACAAGCTTTTGAGGCTTTCAGAACCTTCAGCACATAGGAGTGAGTCCAAGCTCTCCATCAGATTCTAAAGAACAACAGTCACATTATTTAAAAGCAGTATTTTAAATTATTTGAAATACTTTTTATAAAAAACTTCTTGAAAGATTCAAATACAAGAGTACCAATATAAAGCCACATTATTCCAGAATCAGTAATTGAGCCATTATTACTGCCACACAGGCCATATTCACACTATTGCTTCTCAACACTGTTTTGTGTTAAGTACATTTTAATGACTACAGGCATAACATTATGATCATTTTCCAAGAGTTTTCTCTAGATGCATGAGAGATTTTTGTATACATAGAACAAATTATTTTATTCGCAAAGTAATTCTGAACTCTACAAAATACGATTTTCCTTTTTGTTTGCAAGACAGTAAAATCACTGCTCAATTTTTTCTATATTCCATTTTCCTTATAGGAATAAAGTGGGTTTTATATAAGCAGCACACTCCAATTAACAGTACATATATAAGTTATGATTAAAAACAGATCGTATATAACTGTTTTTCAGATATTCATTAAAACTGTTTTCCAAAAACTAAGTTACAGGTAATACAGTTTTCTTAATGGAAAAATGTAGTTCTGACAGGTAAATTACTAGTTAATATTTTCCGCAATGTACTACAATTTGTATAGAGAAGAAAAATTGCCACTGTTGTAGAGATGAAAGACACAACAAGAATTCAGCTTCATCACTGATTACCTTATCATTTCCCAAACTCAACATCTTTACAGTGAAGAGCATCAAATAATTTTAAAGCGATACATGTGCTGATGGAATGTGAGAACAGAGGGTGTGACTATCAGATTAGAACTAAGCACAAGGTCTGAGGTTCAATACTAGGTACTAATGGCCTGTGACAGCCTTTTCTGGCTTTAAGATTTCTTAATTTCTGTGTGACTGCACACCGTAGAACTAAAGGAAAAGAATATTTATTCTGTTGAATTACTAACACATCCAGGGAGCCCAAGTGTCTTTGCGTCACTGGCAAGTAAAGAACTTCAGGAGAGCTGGTTTTAGTAAGTGGCTGGAATATCTCCCCCAAAGCTGCACATCTGTCTACAAATCTCTGCCCTTGCAACACAGCTGCTGTGCAAACTGTTCCTCTCCATTGCCAGTGCCTCACCTTCATACATAGCTCTGCCTTATCAAAACCCACAAGCATGTTGATGATGTCAAACCCAGAAGTGGATTTGTTCTTCTGGTGGACACCCCGAATTAATGCACACAAAGTCTGCAAAGGGAAAAAACAGAAGGTAAGATGTAAGGCAACAGCTCCAACTCAGTAGCAAAACCTGCAGCATAGCTCTTCTAGCACTGGTAAAGCACAGATATTGAAATTAATACACCAGCCTGGAAGCCACACATTTTCTCTGACCTCTCCTCCACCTCTATTGTTTCTAAGGAAGATTTTGGATGCTTAAGACTCAAAAAAATTGGAGAAGAATGTATTTGATCATATTTTTTCTCTCTGAGTACAAATACCAAGTCTGACCAGTAAACTCTCTGTCAACAGCAACAAAAAAGCAAACAAACACACCAAAAGAAATGTCTCCAAGGCTATTAGGCAGCTTAAGCTTTCCTAACTTCCTCCTTCACGTTTCTTGTTGCAGGCACTGGATTACTGCGTCATACCAAGTTCTTGGAGATCACTGGCAACACAAAGGTATCAGCACACCATGCTTCCAACAGACAACCTGGAAAATTTATGGACATGACTAATTGGGAACATCTGTGGTGACTTTCATCATCAGGCACCTCCCAGGCCTGTGAAGAGGGGAATGAGCAGCAATATAGCCACTGCAAATTTAGATCTCAGCTTAAATTCACCTGTGAGAAGTAATTAGTTTCAGAAGATGTAAAGCTGGAGACAAGAAGACTTGAAGGAATTAGCAGATGTCTGGAACTATACAGAAGAAAAAGGATAAGGTAGACATCCTTTTTTTTGTTACTGTGAGAGACAGGATATTGGGCTAAATAAACCCTTGGTCACCAAAATCATTCTCAAGAAATGATTGCTTAAATAAGTTTTGGCTTCAGGACCACTTTCCACATCAACAAAGTCTGATTAAGGGAACGCTCTCCTACCTCAAGCTCAGGACATGTTGCCTCACTCCTGTTTACACACACAGAGCAGTATTCTAGACTTGATCCCTGCCCTAACATTTTCCAAGAGTCTGGATACAAGTTTGAGAATTCAAGGTTGGGCTAAGCTGTCTGTGTAGCTATAACTACAATATTTAACAGCTTCATTTCAAACTAATTCTGGAAATAATAATAAAACAATGCAAGATTGCATGTCAGAGGTATAAATATTCTGGTTTAAACCAGCTTTTCCTAGCTCACTGCCCGTCCAATGTCTACTACAGGTAACTTCTTCAAACCTGACATTCATATCCTGTACTCCTATAGCTGAGAGAAGCAAATGCATTCACCAAACTGTAAGAATCAGCCTGTGAACTAATAACATCAAACACCAACACTGAGGAGGGGAGTCTCCCATATGAGACATGGGATGGCAGAACTTCGGTAAGGAAAATCCTGAGGGAAAATGGCTGTTAATTCTGGGTGACAATTCTTCACAGCTTCCAGTTAGGAAGTGTCCAGGTGGGACAGTTTCCTGTATAAATTTCACACTAACTTCTCCAGAGGTTTATTTATTTTTGGACCCCTAAGGAAATTCAAAAATGCAGCTGAAATGAGGGAGAACAGGTGAAAGTGGAATAACAAAGCTATACAGTATAAGTGCTCTTGAGACCCCAAACTGACAGCCTGCAGTGTGCACAAGCCCCCTTGTCTCTTCATTGCCATAAGCTTCATCCTCTATCACCAGATCCTCCTGAATTCTGAAACAAGCTATTGCTCTGCAAAGAGTAAAGAGACTATGAATGTTTGTAACCTCCACAGCCAGAAAGTAGTAACTGCTCTGTAGACATCGCTTCTCCTCAGAAGCAAAGAAATGAGCAGCTAATACATTGCCTCATCAGAAGGAAAAGACAGCATTGCCTGTCTCCCAGCAGTACCTGTAATGCATTGACCACTCTGATTGGGTGCTCCTCACCCAGGGCCTGGATGCAGTGCTGAAACAAGCAGTTGATGTTATCTTTTATCTTCATTAACTCTTCCCCATCCAAAGCCTCCAGCTTGCCCTCCAGATACTCCAGGTTGACCTGTCAGGTTAAGAAGCAGTTCATGCACGTTACACCCTCATGCACACCTTAGAAAGGCAAGTCCTTGCACTGACAGTCTGCCACTGGCAGAACAGCAACAGCAAATCAGAGGATCTTCAAATTTGGTTACCTTCATGAGAAATAGCTCCTCCCAAAACCGAGGGTTGCATTTACTGGGGTCCTCCGTCTGAAAGGAAAAGGAACAGCCATGAGGGCAAAGAAGAAAAAATCATTCAGACGGAATTTAAAGAAAATCATTATCATGGGTAGCTCAGAGTCAACATCACCCCACTGGATGACCAAGCAGTCTCACAGTGCAGAATTCTGGCTACACAGATTCCCAGAAACCAAGGGACCAATGGAAGTAGCTCTCAATTGGGATGCCTCTGTTTATTTTCTGAGGAGTTTTTCGAGAAATACTGGAAAAGCCATGGCTTCCCATAGATCACGAATGGTTCTGGTAAATAACAGGACAAGATGACATTAAGGAAGAGAGGAGAATACAGAGTTCTACATGACAGCAGGAGAGCCTACACTCTGCAGACCTTACCTTGGGAAAAAATCCCCCATAAAGAACCCTCAGCACAAACTAAACCAAGAAAATTTAACACAGCACTTTAGAAGAAGAGATGCTCAACTCCTTACCGTAAAAATCTCATCATACATCAACACAACTTTCTCTTTCAATGGCTTCTTGGAGGCTGAAGATTTCCGGAGCAGTCCACCTTTCTTCTCTGTTTGGGCCATGCTGTATACCCTGAAGGTAAGAACAGACAAAAAGGGCTCAGAAAACTTGAACTTTTCTTCAAGGCATATCTGGCCTGACTTAACCATGAGACTTTTTGACAAGCTGCAAGTAGGGGTTTTATAACTATACTAGATAAGAAATCAGATCAAAGGACCCATCTAGTCCTATATCCTATTTCAAAGACACATGCAAAAGTCCAGACGCAGGCAGAAACAGAATAAGCTCCTTATGGATAGTTTTTCTTAATTCTTCTCTGCTAGAAATTGATTCATGATCCAGACCAATGCAGTTTGCATCTAAAAAATTATATATTTTTTAATCTCTTTGGAGGAATTGTGATACTTAATATCAAATGGATACCCAGTCCTTTTTGATGCTGTTCAAGTCTCAAGGGCATCTGGTGAGTAAATGCTCCTGAAACTGTTTGAAAAAGTCCTCCCTTACTTGTTTAATATACTGCCTACCAGGGCAACTTCAGATTTGGCTTTTGCACTCTGAGGTGGAAGCCAACACTAGGAAAGCCTCCCTAAAGCACTCCTGCCACCCCTTATTTGTCCCTACCTCTGCATCTTGGCATCTCTTATCTGCACCAGCTGCTCTGCAAATTAAGCCAGAGAGGAACCCCAGCCTCTAAAGCATCCCATGTGGTTCAGTTTTCAGAAGAGAACAGAAGAACACTGGGGAGATGCTTCACAGGGATTTTTTTTTTTAAACCAAATGAATTTCATGATCCATTTGACAGTAAAGGGCTTTCTAAAAACAGAAGGAAGGTTTATTGTCATTAATTGGTGTCTTACAGGTCATACTACTAAAAAAAAGAAAAAAGAAAGTATCATTATTACAAAATGAGCCATTACACAAACACCCATAACTGTGGTCTCGAGCCTTCTGTGACAGACAACCCTCTCCAGGGGCTGAGAGTCAGAACACACGACTTGCCATGTACTCTCAGCCTTGTGTCTGCTGCTACGGAGCACAGCACCACTCTGACCTTGCAAATACATATTTACCTGCAATCACAGATTTTCCTGGCAAGCACCACAGCTTTGGCACAGTCCTAACCTCCTCTATCACTGCAGCATGTCAGAGGTACTTAGCAGAAAGGGAATGCCATCCCTCCTCATATCCCTGAGCTCCCAACCCTTCTCCCATACCTCCAAAGGTAATTACACACACGGCAGCAGCATACCGCACACGGAGGCTTGACTTCAGTCATACTCCAGAAAAACATGGGCAGGCTCTTGTGGCAGCTGCACTCAGCCGTGATAAATTATGCATTGCAAGGTAAGTTCACTGCTGTCGGAATCTAAGACCCCAGAGCTTTCGGAGCTGGCAGCCATGGAGACAGCTTTGGATGTAGCCTCAATCCCAGACTGCCTGAACCCCTTCCACAACCATAGCAGGTTTAGATCTGTCTTCCCCTCAAAGACCAAGTTCCAGCAACTACAGAATACCAGTTCCAGATCTCTTTCATGTTCTTTCCACTGCAGCCAGCTTTTATTTGACTTAAGCTACAATTGTGTTCTCAGCTAGGTCTCTCAGGCTCCCCGAGTCAGTTATTCAAACATCCATCCCTTGAGGCATAAACCTTGGTTCTAAGTGGCAAAAAAAAAATTTAGGAGAAACAATGCTGCTGCGAAAGACACTACCTCAGGTGTGAAAGGAAGGAGCTTTGACTGGATGGGAAAGGGTAGGACAGAACAGCAGATCTCACACCTGAAAAGCCAACATTTACACAGCAAGGCAGAGAGGTGTTCTGTCTTCCCACTAGAAAGGGAATATGCACAGCTGGCTGGTTACAGGCTGGTGTGTGTGCTGGGGTGAGAATGGAAACAGCCCCAAGACACACCGACAGAAGAAAGCTTAGCAACTACTGCACCGTAACATTCTGTAAACACCAAAATTATTCCTGTAGCCCGGTAGGTCTATGTATCCAATTAAGATGGAAGAAGGTTTCCAACTAACAAATGAAAACATTTTTCAATCATCTTGATAGCTTCTCTTTTACAGACTTTGCATTATTTTTAAACTGTCATGGGAAATAAGACATTATTCTAATTAGAAACATAATTGGAAACAGAGAGAAACCTATTAAAAACCAAATCAAGTGCGATGTCACTTTTAGCCTAGCAATACAAATCCTACCCAAGATTGCACAAAACAATTTTCCTACTAGAATTCTAAGTTTCTGAACCTAGAGCAGCTGCCAGCCCCAGCATACAAACACATCCATCAGTGTGCTTCTAATTGAATTACAGCTAACGAATCCCAATGTCAAAACTAATAAACTAACTCTCATTGCTTCTAGGTCAGCGTTCTCACATGAAATGTGTACGTGAATGGGAGGGGATCAATATGATCTGCTTAGTCCCTGGACTTTCAGAGCTGAGTTTTAACCCTTCTCCTACATTTCCAGAAAGACAGAAAAACCTAAATCCCTCAGGACACAAAGGCTTGATGCTGGGTGAGCATCAGAGGGATCGCATGATCATGTGAAAATTCTAGTCTGTCAGCACAGGGCTTGGGATTCGCATTCTCTCAACCAAAACTGCACAGAGCACACACAAGGACAATGCTAGAGGCAAGGATTAAATAACGTTCTTACTTTTAATTTGCTATTCTACAAATGAGCATATGGAGGAGCAAGGAGAGAAAAGCAGAAGTCGCCTTTCATGCCAATGCTTTATCAGGCTGTGCTTGTTTCATGACCTATGATGATCAGGCCATACAAATGGCTTTTTCTTTTCACTTTATGCAATTACATTTTCTAGATGTCATAAAGACAAACAGAAAACTGCATTTTGCTAATAGAGATCTTCCAGGCAGCTGCAGAAAACAACAGTTAAATGCACAAAACATTTATAAATATGTTGCAGAGGTGTCAAATTATGAGGATGCTGTGATGCTTACGAAAACTTTATGACAATGAATATAGTTAACAGTTTTCCTTTAAACATCACATTTAAAAAGCATCAGTGCATTTTCCACATTTTAGGTTCAAACAGATAATTTATTCTGTCAATAGGTCATTCCCATTAACACATGCTGCTAAGTGAATCCTGCTGTATTCACTGACTACATAGGAGAACTACCCCTCAGGGCCAAGAGAAGCACACGCATGGGGATTTTTAGAACAACAAGTACTTTGCTGTGCAGCAGAAGATACAAGATACTTCATCTGGAACTAAAAGAAAATTCAACAGAGCACGAGTCCTGAAGGCTCAAAAAGCAGGAAGATAAAAGCCATGGCAGGCAGACTTGCTTTATCTCTCATCAACCCCGAAATCAGCTGATGAAATCAGGAAGGGATGAGCACATCCAACTATCCACCTCCTTTCTGTTTCATTCCAGAAGTCATAACAGAGATTCCAACCAAACATATGACATTCCAATGAACACAACTCTGTTAGCTTTTCGTTAGAGTAGCCACGGAAAAATGAAGCTGACATTTTGAGTCTGAGATTTACTCAGACTCATGCACATTGAAGACTGTGGATGCTCCACAGTTTTTTCATTCAGCCCCTGTACAGACTTATTAGTATTACACAGACCACCTTTTAATAGCAAAAAATTCCATAGAAAGGATAACACTAACGCTCATCTACACCATAATGACATCAGGATCCAAAACTTGCAGCTTGTGTAATCTTGCTTGCAGCCCATCAAGCACGGCACTTTGCATTCAATTGCCTTGGCTAACAAACCTGAAAGTTTTCAAGATTACAGATGCACATACTCAACACCCACATACAATTAAACGTGAATAAGTGGGTTTTTTTCAGTGTGACTCCTCAAAAAATATATTGTAACACTTCTTCTCTAGGCAAAAAGAATACAGATGATATAAAATGGTATTTTCACACACTGACTTACTTGGCAAATCCTATCTTAAAAAGGCTTTGCAAATGATGTGACCTGTATTAGTTTGTCACTGCCAAAGCCCCAAACCTCAACCAATGTTTATAAAGACTCTGAATAAGAACTGAGATACTTTTGCTTTTAGAATCCAGTATCCCTTGACTTGCCAGAGCTACTAAGATTGGACTCACTTGTTCAAATATTTCAAGGCTAGTAATTGCCTCCTCCCTCCCTGAGTCTATGCTCTTGGGACTCAGTGTGATCATGCTTTGCCTTTCAAGGTGTTCGGCAGGTACATCACTCGAGTCTAAGGGAGTTGTTCAAAAAATATCTTAATCATGCAAGAGATAAACCCCTGTCTCAAAGTTAGCATACAGCTTCTAAAGCAATGTGTTATTAGCCATATACTCAATAAATTCTTCACTGAAGTACCAGGAAAAGCTTGCACTTAATTCACGTGATGAATCTGCAGAGTAAATAACAGACATGAACAACAGGCAGTTAAAACACAGGTTCCAGCACTCATTCATCCCTGGAAGCAATAGACGATCTGTACCCAGCAGAGTACCTGGAGTGCCTGGACCCAGTTCAAGGTCCTGTATTAAAACCCTCAGAACCAGCCAGCAGCAGCCTGGAAGACCACAAGTGAAAAAAGAGAGAGGAAAACCACACTGGATTAAATTTTGTCAAGGTTTTAGCAACCATCATGGCCAAATTTCTGCGATAAGCCGTTTTACAGCCTATTCTCCACCAACTCTTCAACTCTTGCGTTGGTGGTTATGGTTTGTGCTTGTACATCCACACTGCTTTTGTACTGCATCCATTCTTTACAACTTCATATGTATATTGTCCATTGCAATGCAAATTGCTTTGACTGTGCTTCCCTTTACAACTGAAAGGTGCTCAACCCACCAACAAGCGAAACAATAACGCTCACAGCATACGAGCCTTGGATCCATGTGGCAAAACTCCCAGGTGCCTTCAGGCAGTACGTAACGAGAAGCATATTCTGAGGGTGTGCTGATGACAAAAGCCCACATAGATCCTACTTCTTTTTCTGCAGTACCAAGAAACAACCTCCAGCAGAGTCACATACATTTTTACTGGAAAGTCCTTCCATCCCACTTAGAGCAGAGCAATCTATGTGCTTCTACATAGTACACTCTAAAGTTATACCACGACTGACCTATTTTTGCCCCCTCGAAAAACAGGAAAATCAGCTTCCTAATGCAGATACGGCCACAGATTACCTACCATTACACCTGCTTTAGCAATAATGTAAAAGAGTAACATTTCATCCATAATTGCATCTCATTTCTATCTGTCCAGTTAAAATAACACCCAATCCATCAACTTCACACCACCAACTAGTTACACTTCTTTCTGTGAAGTCCATCCAGATAAGTGTCACATGCTTCCACCAGCACACATTCACATCATTTTTCCAAATTATTTTCTCATTTCACCACGCTTTCTCTCTATATACCTGGCTACAATGCCTAGCTCTCTCATGTCAGAAAGCCTCTTCAGGTTTTCACTTCTCTAGCCCTTTAGAATCCATCCCACATAGTTTAGCCTGAAATATTCCCCACTGCCTTTACACTCCCACCTAAAAAAAAAAGCTCACACCACTTGCAGGCCTTTTCAGATGCCATTCTTCTGAAGAAAAACACTCTCCCTACAATCCTCCCCTGCCCTTTTCCCATGGATTCAGCTGGCAGTGTGGATCCAAGGCCCATGCAGAATATAGTGCAGCTACACGACCTTGCCTCCAACTTCTAAGGTAGCTGCTATGTTATAAGAAGCTGCATAGTAAAGTCATGCCAAGATAAGAAAGGTAGAGCTGCAGAGTGGGTAACATTTTTGAGATATGGACCATTAGCAACACAAGTACTCAGGAGTTAAAATAAAAACATAATAAGGTTTTAGTTCTAAAAATAAATAAATAAATAAATTCAAAAAAGTCAACCAAACAATAACAAAAAAACAAACAAAAAAAAAAAAAAAAAAAAAAAAAAAAAAAAAAAAAAAAAAAAAAAAAAAAAAAAAAAAAAAAAAAAAACACACTAGGAAGCCAGAATATAGCAACTCAGCAACACTGAGCAGCAGAGGCTGACCCTTCCCCTCCTAAGGGATGTCTGCGTGGCTGCCTGGTGTTAGCAGGTGGGGTGAGCAGATAAATGTTTAGCCTAGCAGTTCATTAAAGCCTCACTGTTGCTTTTGTGCATGCCCGCCAATAACTGTTTAACATGTTTACACTGTATCTACTACCCTACCCACAGCCTCCCTTTACACACAGCAAAAAGTACCCCAAGTGACACAGAGGATCAGCTATTATTACTGGAAAACCAAACTGATGTCCTTTTCCCCACTCAAAATTCCTCTTAAGCATTTTTGTCACACTTCCTGCTAGAGCTCAAACAGCTGGTGAACTGCAATCACCACGTATCGTCGCAATGATCCAAATTACCTCACTGCTTTGCATATTCCACCCACCTGCTCACCCTAATTGGCTCTCATCATATATTCAGATTACGGTCCCTGCTGAAGAGCAAACTTTCTAACAGTGATATATGCAACAGGGTTTGACCGAGCCCGCAGCTTGCTCATGTAGCAAGTACCTCTGCCTTCAGCAGAGTAAACATTGCAAACTCCCACTGCTTTGCCACTGTTTACCGCTTCCTTTTGCTCTGCCCATGCAAGTGCTTGTAGGACCGCGAGGTAAACCAGATAACTGGAGTGCCCCGCGAACGCTTACTGTCTTCCTAGAGTTATCCCGAGCCCAAAGCCCCCGCAGCCGGGGAACAGCGCGGCCCGCGGGCAGCTCCAGGGCTGGGTTGCCGCAGGCCCTGCGGCCTCCTCAGGGCGGGCACCCGGGGCACGCAGCGGGCACCGCGGCGGGAGCGGAGCGGCACCTCCCGCTGCACGGGCCGCGCGCGGCCGCTCCCGGAGCCGCCCGGGGCCGGCGGCGCAGCGGCCCTGCCACCGGCCGCCGCTGCCCGGCGAGGCCCCTGGCGGCGGGGAGGCGCCCGGCCTGGCGGAGCCCCCGGCGCGGCGGAGCCCCCGGTGCCGGAGGGGCGGCGGGGCGGGGGCGCGCCAGGCCCCGCGGGTGGGTGGGATCCCGCGTCTCCCCCGCCGCTCCCGCACTCACCTGCGGGCAGCCGCTCCCCGCGCACCGCGCACGCGCCGCGCGTGCGCCCGCCGGTCCCGCCGCGCGGCCGCGGCTCCCGTGGGCGGGGGCGGTGGCGGGGACGCTCCTCCCCGGGCCGGCCGGGGCGCTCGGCTCGCCCCCCCCGGGACTGGCGCTCCCGCTCCGCCGCGACCAATGGCCCCTCCGCCCGCGGGACGGCCCCGGGACGCGGCCTCGCCGCCCTCCCCGCACCGGCGGCGGAAGTAGGCGAGGGGCGGCCCGGGGCGGTGCGGCCCCACCCGGAAACCCGCGGCCCCGTGACTGCGCAGCGCCGAGCGGAGCCGCCGCCAGCCCGGCCTCGGCCAGGGGCACCCTGGCCCGGTAGGCAGCCGCTGCCGCGGCAGGTGGGTCCCGGCGGGAGGGGGTCCCGCGGGTGCCCGGGGAAGCGGTGGGTGTCCGGGGAGCTGGGGGCGCGGCCGGTCCCCGCGGGGCTGGTGCCCGCGGAACGGGCTCGCCGCGGGAGTAGGGTGTCCGAGGGGTCTCTGGGGGCCTGCAGGGAGCCTGGGAGTGGAGCTGCGGGGGAGGCCCGGGCGGGGACCGGGCGGCAGCAGGGGCTCCGTCCCCCGGCTCGCCCTGGTGCATGCTCTCGGTGACAGGACGGGCGCCCCAGGATGAAGCGCGCCGGGACGCTGCGGCAGGTCTCCGACTTGAGCGACTTCAGCCGAGGCCACTGGCTGCGGGAGCTGCTGTGCCGCGGAGAAGAGCCCAGCCACGTCCAGCCCAGCCCCGACGGACAGCACCTCCTGGTCCTGCAGAAGAACGGGCCGCCACCCCTGCCCCGGGTGGTGGCCTTCCAGCGCCACAGCATCGCCGGAGCCGACCTGGAGCGGAGCTGGCAGCCACCCCAGCCAGCCCTTGTGGGACTGCTCTTCCTGCAGAGCCCTGTGGTACTGGACTCTTGGGTACTGGCCATGGTGTGGGAACACGGCCGGACCGAGGTCTGGCACTTTGTGGTGTCCGTGGGCTGGCAGCTGCTGCAGAGGCTGGAGCTCTGCCAGGGCGCCCGGGCACGAATTGTCTCCGTGTGCAGCCAGGGAGCCAGCCTCGTGTGGTGTGAGGAGAGGCCGCCCCTGGATGCCCACTCAGACATGAGCAAGTGTGCCTTCAGGTTCTGTGTCTGTGCCCGTGCTCTGGAGGTGGGGGAGCAAGGTGTGAGGCTGGGCACCGTGAGGATGATCCTGCACAACAGCCCTGAGTATCAGGTCCTGGCCTCCCCTCAGCACATCTTCCTGGTGCCTGCTGCTGCCGGCTTTGCCACCACTTCCAAATTTCTCCTCACCTGGCATCCTGAGACAGCAAAACTCACCATCACAGCCCCCTCTGCAGGCTTCATCCACAGCAAGGTGCTGCACTCCAGCAGCGAGTCAGATTTCAGAAAACTCCTGCTGGGTTCTGTGGGCCTTCTCTCAGGTTTAACACCTCTGGACATTCACACCTCTGCTGTGTCTAACAGTGGGGGTCTGCTGTTGGTGAGCACAAAGGGTGCTGTGAACATGGTGGAGCCAGATGGGACACAGAGGCATATCTTTGACCTGGAGGTGGACTCCCTGGCCCCGGGGAGTCCTGTCCGGCTGAAGACCTTCGGCAGCATCCTGGCCTGTGTGCTGGCTGGAGTCCTCTACCTTGTTGACCAGAACAGTGGAAGGCTCATACAAAAGGAAGTTCTAAGCATGAAAGAGGTGCATTTCCTGGAGGCCCCGGGAGATGAGGACAGTATCCAGTTCCTCTCTCAAGCTGGCATCTATAGCTTTAGTTTCTCCAAACCTGAAGATAGCAGCAGACCTGAGCCATGCCTGGTGGAGATGGTGTTTGAGGAGGCCTGCAGATACTACCAGAGGAGGAGCCTCAGCAGCTCCAAGCTGACAGTGGAGAAGTTGAAGAAAGGTGGTGCATTCCAGGCTCCTGTGGCCCTCGCTTCCATCCTGCAGCACAGCCTCCACCAGAAACAAAAGCCAGCCCAAGGCCTGCAAGAAACTTATGCCAAGCTGTTGAGCACAATGAGCCTGGAGCTGCAGAGCTACAGGAGCCTGGAGCTCCTCAAAACCTGTGTGGTGTGTGCCCCAGAGAGTGAGGTGGAAAGCTACTGCAAGGAACTGGTGGAGCAGGAGGTCAGCCGCATTCTGCACTCTGACATGGACAAGGACAATTTGGCCTACCTCAACTCTGTCTTTGACTCTTTCCCCAAGGCTGCCTGGAAGGCCACAAGGAGCTGCCTGCAGCTGCAGCAGAATGGGGACGGCCTCTTGGTAGCCAGGGCCACCCCAGAGGTGTGGAAGAAGGTCCTGGGAGGCCCGCAGCTGGACGACGTGGGTCAGAATGGGATGGTCCCACTCTTTGAGCTCATCTGCGCCTCCTTCCTGAGGTTCAAACCCAAGTGGTTGCCCAGTTTTGTGGAGCTGACCCAGCAGTACGTTGGCATGTCTTGGGCGTACAGCAGCAAGGAGGGCCCAGAGGGCCGGGTGCCACTGTACAAGAGAGCACTGGGAGTACTGGCCCGGAAGAACAAACATAGTGAGGGAGACAGTGAGATGGAGCTGGAACTGCTGCTCTGCAGCAAGAGGCCTAAGGCTGTGCTGCAAGCTCTGCACCTTCTTATCCGTCTGAAGCGGTGGCAGCGGGTGGTGGAGGTGGCAGAGAAGTTCTCCAAACTCAGCCCCTTGCTTAACAAGGAGATATTCACCACGCTGCTGGCTGAGTTTGCCCAGCACCGGGAGCTGGACCCATATCTGGACAGGCTGTGGCCACTGTGCCCTGCTGAGCTCACTGCCTTAGACATCCTCACCGTGGTCCTGCAGAACCTCCCTCACTCCCAGGAGGACCCAGTGCCTTTCTCCAGCGAGGGGAACCAGCTGACTGTGGGCTTGCTTAAGCCACTGCTGCAAAGGGTTGTGCAGCGTCCCAGTGTCCAGAATGAGATGTACTTGGATGCCTTGCAGAGTCCCACCTTCCCCCCTCCTACCCCACCCCGAGAGCACAAAATCCCCTCAAAAGCAGCAGCTGATGATGTCCCTCAGCCATCAATGGCAAGGACTTCCTCACCCTCAGCACTGGTACAGGATGACAGTGTGTGACGGGGGGAAGGACAACCTGATCCCAAGCCTTGGGTGTACGAGGAAGGGAAAGCCGTATGCACCCCAGGAAATCCTACCCTGCCTGGCAGTATGGAAGCCTGCTCCTTTCTGAAGCCTCCCTGTAGCAGCATCTTGAAGAGCCTGTTGGGTGGCTGGGGTTGGGGGATCTCTTCTGAGCCAGGGCAGGCTTTCTGGCTATTCCTATGAAGTGCAATTGTGTGTGTCCAGTGGAGGAGCAAATGCCAGGTGCATTTGTAGATGAAAATGCTGGTTGCACTACAGGACTACAGAACTGCTCCCTTCCCAAAGCACTTTGTTTTCAGTTTGCTTGGCACCTTTACAACTCCCACTTCTACTTCCCTGATCCTCTAGGACTTGTGGTGGAGCAATGGGCAGGGACACACAGAGTGTTGTCTCCCAGTTCTCTGCTCAGTGAGTTGGGTGGTGCCTCCGAGCTCTGCCTGTGAGAAACAGGGCATGTTTCCTGCAGTGGGGTCACCAAGTCCTGCTTCTTTGGGCTCAGTCAGATGCTAAATGCCAGTGTGGCACAGCTCTGTGGCACTCGAGGTCCCAGCACACGTGCTGGCAGCTGCAGCACTCTGCACGCTGTCTCACCACAGTTCCTCTGGGATCAATCCTGTAGCTGTGACTGATTGCAGCTACTTAGCTGAAGAGAGCAGCCTAATTCCCTTATCTCTCTATCCCAGACAGTACCCAAACTCTCTTCTGAGCTGAGAAGCTGGCAGCAGCCTGTGTGAGCTTGGGGCTGGCCCTGCCTCTCCCTTTCCTTTGTGGAAGCTTAGATTATGCTGCAGGACACCCAGGCCCTCTGTTCCCATCTCCTCTACCTTTGCCCTTTGCACACAAAGGGGCTTTGTCAGGGTTGTCTGGCTCATATTGTGCCTCTGTTTGCAAAGTCAGTGTAACTTGAGAGCAGTTGTGCAGGAAGATCCAGGTTCCAGCCTCACTCTGGTACCCTCTGCCTGGCCCCCTCCACCAGGAGGGAGACCCTAGCTATGGCTTTGCCTCTGCATTCTGGGCTGTGGTGTAAAGGAGCTGTCTCTTGCCTTGCTGGGCTGGGGGAGATTCACCTGCATTAGTCCTCTTGAGAGTGGTCTGAAGTGTGGAAGACAGACTCCTTTTAAAAATAAAGGTTCCTAAAGCAGTGCTGAGGTGGTGGTGGATGTTGTGAGGGTACACACCCTCGGGAGGAGGGTGGTTTTGTTTTGCTTCTGGTGAAAAGTGGCCGAGCTCAGCTCGCTAGTACTGCCCAGCGTGGCTCACTGGGTTACACAGGGCTCACAGCTGGGTTTGGAGAGTGTGCCCAGACAGTCCATTCCCTCAGCTACTTACCATTATGAAGCCATGCAGGCAGGAGTCTGCAGAAGCAGGCAGAAGATAGAGTTGAGGATGGGGATTTTTTTTCTCAAGAGCTGCAACTTGTCCATTTTTTTTTGAAAACGAGCAATGGGGAGTACTTGGCTGGCCCAGCAGGAGTCTGCTGCCAGGCACTCAGTGTCAGAGCTGCTGTTGGAGAGATCCTGGTTTGTGAAACCACTGTAAAGATGCAGCAGGGCCTCCCCCAGACAAGGGCTTGGCTGCAGAAAGTCCCTGTGGTGGAAAAAAGGTCTGGCAAAGAGAAAGAGGAACTGCTGCAACGGTTGCCTAGAGGCTGGCTGGCTATTGATGAGACCTTCCTTATTGGGAAGGGGGTGCTGTGGCCATGGGACGCTGCCAGTTTCCTTCCCACACAAGGAAGCCACCTGATTCTGGCAGCTGCTGCTCACATGAGCAAGGGAGCCCGGCCTGAAAGGAGAGCTGGCAGCAGCCACTGTGGGCTGTCCCTGCCTCCTCTCCAAGCAGCTGCTGCCTCTGCCTGACTGTGCTCTCACCCCCCTCCCAGGGCTGCTCAGGAGGAGGATGGTGGATGGACCCAGACTCCTCTCAGAGCCGTTGCTGGGATGCTGCCCTGGGGCAGCACTGAATGGGGAGCTGCTGAGAGCAAGCCCCACACCTTGGCAAAGGCTGTGCAGTAATCTGAGGGGAGATCTTCATTGCCACGGCTGGATTTGGATGCAGGTGGTCACGGTAACACAACAAATGAGGGTCAAGCTCCCTGCCTTCCAGCACTAGCTCTGCAGGGAAGAAAAAGCAGATCAGGGAAGGAGCAGTGCCTGCAAAGCCAGCAAGAGGAAACTGAAGCCAGCAGTCATCCTGTGTGGGCTGATGTCCCCGAGGCACAGCAAGGGAAGAGGAAGCAGAGAACGCTATGTGGTAGGGACACCCTGAGGCTTGGGGAAAGAGACCTCCACATATAGGCCCTAGACAGGCAGGAAGCAGTCAGAATTTGGGAGGCTGAGGGTTCAGGGTAGGGGAGAGCAAGAGACAAAACTGAATGCTTTCCAAGAAATGCTGGAAGTCCCCAAGGACCAGAAAGGGGTGCTTATGAGGAGCAGTGACCAAACCACTCCGAAGAACAAGATTCAGCTGAGTAACAGGCAAGCACAGGGCTGTCTCTGCGGTCAGACTGGTGCTGGGGGGAGATAGCAGGAGGTAAGGCTGGTGCAGCTTTAGATAACACCCAAAGGAAAAACCAGTGATTAGGAGATCTGAAGGCAAATGGAAAAAGCAATAAAGCAGATGCACGTAGCGGAGGGTGAGCTGGCCAGCCTGGCCCTCTCACTCTGCTCCAGAGAGACTTGGACTGTGCAACAAAGGAAATGAGTCAAGCTGCTCCCGCGTATTCCCTGTGCCTGACATGGCTTTCGGGATGCTCCCTGTGCTTGCACAAAGGAGCAGCACAAAGCAACACCTGCACTCGCCCCAAGGCTGCAGACCAAGTCACCCTTGGCTTATCTGTGCATGCAGCTCTCACCATGCAGAGCATGGGACATGGGGGAGTGGACACAGGAAGTCCATGCCACCGTACCTAGCAGAGGAAGATGTGGGCTGCATGTACCCCATAAACTAACTGGAAGTGCAGACACACCAGGGTTGACAGAGGGAAGTGCTTCATCTGTTGGGGACAGCTTGGGGTGGCATCTCATGGACAGGAGGCTCTTGGTGTGGCTTTTCCCAGGAAAGGAACGGACACCCAGCCAAGCCACAGGTGAAAAGGGCTGCCCGGTGAGGGGAACATCACCCAGCCCTGGTGATGCTGAGCAGTGGTACTGTATCAACTCATGGGCTGGCTGTAGGCAGAGCATGCTTGGGAACTCCAGAAAGAGCCCTCTGGTCCCAGGCACAGCCCCAGCTTGGGCCAGCAGTAGGGAACCCTCCCTGTCCTACCCCTGTGTCCTTTACAGCCAGACCTGAGGAGTGCAGCCACATCCTGCAGTGCACACAAATATCCCATTTATTGTTTGACACCAAAAATCACAGCCTTGGAAAGAAGCAGGCTCCCTGTAAAAATAAATAGTCACATTTTTCAAGTCAGGGGGGCCTTTCCATTTCTTCTTCCATCTGTGGGCGGCAGGGGCTAATGCCTTGTGGATGGCCTGGGGATCATGGAGTAGTTGAACATAGGTGGCCTGTAAAACGAAGGTCACATCACCCCCAGCCACAGAAGGGAGCAAGGGACAGCCCAGGATGCATTGGGATGGCCAAGCATCATCACCCAAGCACCATCACTCCTATCACCCAGTCCCACAGGAAAGAGGCTATGGGGACAGGCATCCCCAAACCCACCAGCTTGGGAGACTGGGAGCAGCAGCACCTTCAAACTTAGGAGTGTGGGAAGGTGATGAAAGAGCCCCAGAACTGTGTGCACTGCAAAGGTCCCACCGTCCAAGCCATCCCCTGGTACCAGCACCCTCCTTGGCCTGCACTCACCCTATTCCCTACCTCACCCACCTCTCTTTGTGCCCTGACCCCTTCATACCACAGGATCTGCCCCCCATCCCACACAGGGACCTGGCAGTATAAATAGCTTACATCTCAAATTCTTCATTCCTGCAGGGGAGAAAAAAAGAGAGGACAGTGTCAGTGGAGCAAGACTTGGGACAACCCAGCATCTCCTGGTGGGACAAGATCTCCCCCAGGTCACAGAAGAACACAGAGAGTTCAGGGTGCTGTGATCCCCTCCATCCTGGCTGCCTGATCTGAACACAGAGCATGGGCCCCTACAGCCCCCCTGAATGTTGCTGCCCCCAGAGCCTCCCTGCTCCTTCCCTGGGCAGGCAGAGTGGGGCCCCACACTCAGCAGCTCAGCAACACACAGCTCCCCATGCCAGAATTTCAGTTCCCCCAAGTTTCCCAGGCAGCTGAGCCTGTGCCTCCAGCCAGCTCAGTAGGAGGCCGGGACTGGGAAGCCCCCAGCACACTGCAGGGCCAAAATGTAGCCCTCAGGAGCTGGAAATACAACTGGAAACTGCTCACTACCTTAAAGGGTCAGCAGTGGAGTAGCAGTGGAGCTGCTGGTTAGAGGGTCCCAGAGGGCTGGGGGGCAGCCCCGGGGCACCAGTGGCCACAGGTGTGTGAGCAAGCACTGCACCCTCGTGGCAAAGACACCATCCACACAGCACATTGCATTCTGCACAGCATGAAGCTGAGCTGCTGTCTGGGGACCCCAGCACAAAAATGGTGCCAGAGCAAGGCAGGTGATGGACCCCCGAGCCAGGCTGGGGCTGCAGCCCTGCCGGCTCCTTCTTCCAAGGGGAGCTGGATGCACTTTCATCTGGCCAAAGAGGAGGTTCAGGGCAGGCAGGGCCAGGCTCTTCTCCAGAACATCTCCATCTTCAGAGGCTGAGGGGCCCAAGGCAGCCCATGTCACTTTGGGATCAGCCCCACAGGCTACCATGAGGCACATGAAGGGACAGCTGGCAGTGCACGAGGGGACCCCAGACCCAGTGCAGCAATAGGAGGTGGGGCTGCTCCTCACCTGTACACATCAGCAATGTCCATGCGGCGGTAAAACTTGGCGAGTCTGACAGCCAGGATGATGCTGGGCAGCAGGAACAACGTGCACCAGCCCAGGCTGAACCAGAAGGCATTCTGGGGTGTTGGGAGGAGAGCCATTAGGACTAGACAGCAACTGGGAGAATACCTTTTTCTCTCAGAGCTCCCCAATGACCACCCAGTCCTTCTCACAGCTTGCTCTTAGCCACAGCAATCTGCCAGGGAGAAGCTGAGCCCTGCTTCCTGTGTATCCCTCATCCTTCCCTGCATCCCTCATCCTGTGCATGATGAAGACAAGGGGACCTCACTGCCGCCACACACACACATTTCACTCCACACACCACTGCCCTACTCACCACGGAGTCCATGATGTAGTCGCAGCCAATGACCTCCACATTATCCAGGGTCTGAGCTACAGGTTTGCAGCGTGCCACATCTTCTGTCAGCTGGACATATGGGTGGGAACAGGATATGTCAGCATCCACCAAAGCCTGCAGCCCATCCTCCCCTTCCCTCCACACCACGAGGTCTCAACTCACCCTGCTCTTGGCCCATGAGATGTAGGTCTCAAAAAAATGCAACAGCTGCTCCAGGAAGGCCCACGTCTCCTGGGGGGAGCAAGCACAGAGTGGAGATGCTGCACCACCAGCCCTCCATGCTCCATGTCCCCTCCCTGTCAGGATGGGGGCTCTCAGACCACCTCAACACAGCAGCAATGGGGCTGCATGCTTCACCCCACCCAGCCCCTTGCAGGGGGTGCCTTAAGGGGCAGGAGCACCCAGGGGTGCAGGAAACCCCCAGGGAAGACAACAGGGGAGGACAAGCCAGACATCACTTGGCATCCCTGCGCAGAGGGAGGTCTTGGTGTGGGAGTGCAATCACATCCCCACGGTGTGGCCCAGGAGCAGGGCAAGGCAAGCTCACATTCTTGATGATGTTAGGAGTCTCCTTCTCCAGGAACTCCTGGGTTTTGTTGGCTTTGTCCAGCGCAGTTCTTGTCTGTCCCTGGGGTGAAAGATGCTCTCAGCAGTGTGATGGAAGTTGGGTCCCCCACATCTGCCCTACCCTGCACAGCAGCGCTCCCTGGGGGCACAGCCTCTCTGAGCTGTGGTGTTCCGAGCAGTCATACAATGGTAGTGCCTGAGTACCTCAGGTGAAGGGAGCCTGTGCCTGGCAGGGTCCATGACACGGGCCCCCTCCCTCTGCCCCATGACCAGCCCCTGCAGCGTGTGCCTGGGGAGTCCCACAGCAGCCACCAGCCCCTCAGACTGCAGGTGACCCCCATCATCTCTGCTGCAGGACCTCAAGGGTGCTTTGCAGGATGCCCTGGACTGAAGTGCACTCAGGAGGTCCTCTTGTGCAGCCTACCTCAAGCTGGGCAGCCCCGCTCTGCACTGAGTGGATGTTCTTCTTCAGGCTTTGCTGGGGACCAAGAGAGGGAGGTCAGAGGTGTGGACCCCACAACTCAGACAAGACCGTGCCAGTAGGCTCCAAGCTCTAGGGAAACCTAAGCCAGTACTCCCAGGACCTCCCCCAGCATCGCTCACCAGTGGTCCAGAGAAGTTTGCCTGCATCTTCTTGTCCAGATTCCTCAGTTCAAGAGCTATGTCTTCCAGTTCCTTTTTCACATCTATGTCCTGGAGAAACTACAGTCAGCAGCGCTCCTGGCACAAGGTCCAGGCCCCACCATAGCCAGCTGATAGGCCTGGTTTGGGAAAAGAGCTGAACGAGGGTGAAGGGCATCGCCTCCTCTCAACACCCAGGCAGGGATAGAGGAGCCCCGCAGCCAGTGGCTTTGAGGACAGAGTGGCCATGGCCCTGGAGTGCCATGGTCTCTCACCGTTTTTTCTGCCAGCTGCTCCAACTCTGTGGCCAGATCCAGGAGGCTTCCCTGGGTTATGTTCTGCTCCAGCTGGAAAAGGCAGAGACAAAGCCATGAGAATGGGGAATGGGGCTCCTGAGGGGAGCCGTAATCCAGCTCGGGGGCAGAGTGGAGCCAGGACCTTCTGAGTGGAGGATGTGTTTGGTTACCAAATGGAGTGACATGAATGAAAGCCTGCAGTAGGATTACCACAGCAGCAAAGCATAGGTGACAGTGGACATCCTCAACCCACATCCAAACTCCCCCATCCCAACACCAGGCTGCCCTCAGCCCACCTGCTCCAAGGTGAGGGTGAAGTTGGGGGGCTGCCCAGCCTGACTGGCATTCAGCAGCATGTCTTCCTGTGTCTGGTCAAGCAGGGAGATGGGGCTCAGGGTGATGTTCACCTCCTCAAAAGCCGTGGAGATCTCTCCTGTGTACTGCCAGAGCAAAGGGGGCCGTATGTAGCATGTGCTAACCCCTCACTGTCCCCTCAGCCCTGTGCCCCCATCCCTGCCTTCCAGACTTGGCACCCCCAGGCTCACCTGGCTGATATTCAAGAGCTCATCCAGGGACACACTCTGGTCCAAGTGCAGAGTTTTCCACAGAGAAGCATCTTGCTGGCACTGCCTGCAGGGTGGGGGCAAGGGCTGAAAACAGGGCAGGCAAAGGCTACCCCCTCCCAGGAGTATGTTCTCACCTGTGCAGGTAGGTCACACCTTGCTCCTTCCCTGGCATCAGTGCCCGCCCACAGCCACAGCAGGTAGGGCAAGCTGTCCCCCTCCTGGAGAGCATCTGAGGGCATTGAACAGCTGTACCCCTCCCCAAAGACACAGTGCCAGGGCTGGGACTCACCTGTATATCTCTGAGAAGTTTGTCGTGTCACCCTCCTGGCCCAGCAGCTCTGAGAGGTTGAAGCCAGGGATCAGGCCGGGAGTGTCCAAGAGCTAAGAGCAAGGGAAGAGATGGAGAAACTAGATACAGTGCAGGGCAGGACACCTCAGAAGGACATCCAAATGACCAGTGCTGCCACCGCTCCACCAGTAGCCCTCACAAAGACAGAAGTGTCTCCATGCAGGAGTGTCTCTCCACAGGGAGCTCACCTGAAAGAGCTGCTGGTTGCGCCAGGACTCACAGAATAACATGTAGACATTCCCCCCCAGCAAGAAGATGATCATCACCAGCAGCATCAGCAGCCAGGAGAAGATGAAGCTGAAGCCGACCCCTCTGCCGGGACAGAAATGCCATCAGCACCTGTGGCCCCGTGCCCCAGTGCTGATGCTGGCATTGCCCCCAGCTCACAGAGCCCAAGGGCTGCTCAACCCTTGCCCCCCACAATTCCAGGAACACCCTCATTCCTCCAAGCATTTCTCCATTCTGCCTTCAGCCCCCAGAGTACAACCTGGAGCTTGGATTCCAGAATAGCTTCTCACAGCTTTGCGAGCCAGCACTCCCCTGCAGAGCCGCAGGACCACACACACTGCCAGCCCCCGCCAGCACGGGGCAAATGGGCTCCTCTGGAACGCCTCTCACCAGCACCAGGTTTTACCTTCACATTTACCACTGCATGGGGAGTTGCCATGGGGCAGGCCATTAATATGATGGGACTGCATGTAACATGATGATTTAGGAACCTGAGCATTCCCAGACCAGCCCTGCCCACCCAACCCACCGCTCCCACACACATCCTCAGCAACAAAGGGAGCCTCACGCCATGAAGAAGTTCCCGCCAGCATTGGAGAGGCCACTGCGCTTTGTGGGCAGCACGTCTTCCTTCAGACCCAGGGGCCCCAGTAGCAGCCCAAAAATGTTGCAGAGGACCACCAGCAGCACTGTGCAGCACAGGAGGGCACACACAATCAACCTGGGACAAGACAAAGAGCAAGAGTCAGGTAGAAGGACCTGAGACCCTGAACAGCACCCAACAGCCCACTGGCTGCCTTCCTGGGGAGGAAAAAGGCCCCAGGCATTCCAGCAGCAAAGGGGCACAGGTGACTGCAAGGTACAGCTCTGACTACCCACCACCCACCAAGCTCCTACCTCTAGCAACTGGATGATCAGGAACCTGAGCCTCTCGGGACAACAAAGCTGGGGATGCAGCTGCCCCTCACCTACCTGAGCCCATCCCAGGCAATGATCGGCCCCCTGTACTCCTCTAGCGTCAACATGGCATTGCCCACAAAGGCCCCAGCTTTCTCCTCCACATCCTGGAAAGGCAACTGTTCCTTCAAGCTTCTGATCTCCTGCCTGATGAAGGCCAGCTGCTCCTGTGTTTCTGCAGGGGACAGGGACAGGTTGACACTGCAAGGTGCTGCCCAGGTCCTGCAGGGCAGCGGGGACCAGGAGAGGATGGGAAAGGGGCAATCATGGCCAAAGATGGCATTGGCACAACGGCACCTGGGGACAGCCAGGGTTGCAAGCAGCCGGTTGGCAGCAGGTGAAGCCCACCAGGCAGGGGTGGGTTGAGGAGGGAGCCTTGGGAGAGGAGAAGTTGGCACACTGCACACAAAGCCCTGCTTACTTGCCACCACATCCTGGGACTGCTCTTGCACCTTGTCCGGGATTGTGTTCAGTGTTCCGTTAACCTGCAGCAGGGGAGCACAGCATACAGCTCACATCCTTGACCTCAACCCAGGGCTGAGCAGCACATCCTCTTGGTCCCAGATCCCAGTGCACAGGATAGCCAGGACCCCCAGAGCACCCAGTCCACCCCACCAGTGCACAGGGGTGGTGGGGACAGCGAGCAGACCTCTAGCCAGCCCTTCCCTCCATGTCACAGCAATGAACTCCCCACAGGAGCTTTTCCCAAGCCACCCTTGTCAGCACAGCCCCAGCAGTGCTGGGAGCACCCAGCCTGTCTCTAAGGGTCACCCATTACCTTCTCTAAATCAGTCGCTATGCTGGAGCTAGAAACATAATGCAGTGCCTCCAGCTGCTGCTGCACACTGGGGATCTGCAGGAAAGAGCCTGGGGTGAGAGGGCCGCAGGGGGATGGGGAAGGGGCTGTGGGGCCCCTCACCCCACACCCTGCCCCTCCTCACCGTGCTGAAGTTGGCAGTGAAGGCAAGGCCATTGAGGGACACGTTGTTGCAGGGGGGGCCGCAGCGCTGCAGAGTCTGGTTGAGTTTGTCCCGCAGGTGGCTCAGCTGCTGCCCAAATGTGCTCTGCAGCTCCTCGAGGTCCGAGCGACCGATGGTGATGTTGTAGAAGATGGCCTCCAGCATCTCCATCCCTGGGGAGACAGCAGGGGCTCAGGGCCTTATCCTGCCAGTGTGGCAGGGACTTATTCCCACCAAGCTGAACCTCAGGGACCAATAAAAAAATGCAACATAAGGACACCCCCAAAGTCCCAGCACTTGCCCCAGGGTGCAGCTGGGAGGCCAGATGGATCCTATGCCCTGGGAGCCTCACCCAAACATGCACCTACCCCAGCTCTCAGCCCCGGTATCCCCAAGTCTCCTGTCAGCCTCCCAGGGGTGGGACCACTACCTTGCAACAGGCTCTGGAGGGATCCCAGAGCCCCATCCGTGCTGCTCCTGATGCGTGAGGTGATCATGGTGCCCAGGTTGGGCCCGATGTCTGCAGAGATGGGAGAGGTGGTGTCACTGACAGGACCCCTACTTGCAGGAAAGCTGGTGAAAACTCTGATACCCCCCAGCAACCCAGCCCTCACCCATCCCTTAGGTGGGGGTCAGAGGGGATGCCCCTATCCTGCCACCACCTGCATTACCTTTCCCAGAGAAGAGCCTGAATGGGGAAAAGCAGTGGCTGGAGCAGAGCTGAAGCCTGGAGGAGCCCCCAGACTCAATCCCTTTGGACACCCCCATAAGAACCAGCCCAGTGACCCCCCCAGGGTCAGAAGCCATCCATAGGGCAGCAAGGCAAACCCACACAATACACCCACTACCCAAACACCCTCAGCCCTGGATCAGCTCACCACAGGAGCACCCCCAGCCCTGCCCACCGCACACACTCACCCTGGAGGCTGCTGTTGACATGGCCCAGCGGGACCTCGCTGTTGTCAATGATAAAATCAACTTGCTGTAGGGACAGAGATGTGGTGTCAGTGCGGGTGGGGACCCTTTCCTCACTCCAGCCCAATTGCTGCACTTCCCCAGGGGGCTGTTTGGGCTGCTCCCCACACCTGGCCCCTTGCCCCCCAGCAGGCACCCCAGCCGTGGCAGGGGGACCAGGCATACCTGGGGAATTGAGGCCAGGTAGGTGTGGAAGTTGTCCAGAGTGTTGTTCACATTGGGGAAGGTGCTGTTCACAGCCTGGGAGAAGCGGGCGTTGCTGATTAAGGCACAGACACCACCGGCCCTACAAGGGAAGGGCGGCAGGGTCAGCACACGGGAAACTTAATCCTGATGCTCCCCCCCTCCAGTACCTTCCAAATCCACCCACACTGACCCCAGCCTGCAGGGTCTGGAGCATGCCAGTGAACGCCCGCTTCCAGTGCATCCCAGCAAGTGCCCTGCACACTGCTAAGGGACCAGAGAAGAGGCCCACGGGAAACTGAGGCACGGGGGAGCCCAGTAACCAGTGCACCTCCAGTTCCCCGTGGCGAAGCTGTCGGGAAAGATTTGTGCCCTGCCAATGCGCAGCCCCCGGGGCCAGCTTCCCACCGCCGCCGCTTCCTCTCCTTTGTCCCGCCGTGCCGGGATCTACTCGTGTGAACAATGGCAGTTTCCTGGCACGGCCGCCAAGCGCCGGCGTTTCCACCCACCCCTGGGTCCCATCCGGAGCGTCCCGGCCAGAGCACTCACAGGAGGAAAGCGGAGACCAGCAGGACGGAGGTCCAGAGCGCCCAGCGCCGGCAGCCCATCCCCGGCTTCTGCTTCTGGTACATGCGGCCCCCGCAGTTCCCGCAGCAGCGGCAGCAGCAGAAGCAGCATCCCACCAGCGGCACGAAGATGATGAAGAGGACTCCAATGGCCGCACAGACCAGAAAACCCAGCTCGTAGAGCAGCAGCTGGGATAAGAAGAATGAGAGGCAGCATAACACTGGTGCCCCTGAAGACTCCTCAGCTCTGAGGGTCCTGTCCAAACCCACACAGGGCTGAATGCGTCCCCTCAGGGGGCTGCATATCTCCCCTTGCTGCTGCCTGGCATCCAGGGCTCAGCCTCAGAGCAGCACCTACTAGCATCCCCCAGTCTGTGGTGGTCTGGGGCTGCCAGACCTCTGCCCTGGCTGCCTGCTCACCTCCTTGATATCCTCCTGGTTGAACTCCATCTGGGACTGCCCAAAATCAATCATTTCTGGGGAATAAGAAGCAGACAGGGCTGTGAGCAGGTGCTAGGCCCTGGGGGGCCCTCTCCAGGTGGGCCTCACACCCTGCTCATCTCAGAGATGGTCCCAGGCATCACCTGTGGCTCAGACCAGCTGTGCGTGCCTGGCGTGTTTCTCCCCTCCAGCTGCCCTCCCCAGCCCACGTGCTGCACAGCATTTTTGCATCTGGGAAAAGTGCTGCCAGCCCCCAGACTCTCAGGGTTCCACAGAACAAGGCCCTCACCCCACTGGGCATCAGGGGCATTGCCCTGGGGCTGTCCTCCTGCAACCCAGCCCCCAACAAATGCCCGAGGGCACTGCCTACATGGAATGAGTGTTGGGGCAAAGTCCCCCTGACGTGCTGTCTCTTTCATCCCCAGGGCTTGCCCTGCCCATGGCCCATGGACTCATTACAAGTCATGATGAGACAGGGTGCCATTTATTGTACCCTGGTATCTGTGTGACATGAACAAGGCCACAAAGCCATTGAGGAGTTTGTCAGCCACACCTTTGCCTGCCAGTTGACAGTGAGCAAGGGCTGAGCCAAGGGAAGGAGGAAGCACAAGTGCCAGCAGCCAGAGTGGCATTTCCCTCCAGGTGGGCAGCACTCACCCCACCGGTATCAAGCAGCTGCAGGGTCCTGGTATCATCTGTGCAGACCTGCAGCCACTTCAGGGCAGAGCTGTGCCAGCGACACGTCCCTGTCCCCTCAGATATGGAGGAGCAAGAGCAAGCTCTGGCAAGCTGGGCAGCGTGCGGGGAGTGCCTGCAGAGCTGCTGTGCGGGCACTGGCACCGGAACACACTGCTCTTGGTGGCCAGCAAGTGGCTGCAAGTCAGACAAGAACCCTGAAGGCAGAGTTGGGTTTCCTCTGCACTTTTGTTGGGGCCTAGGATTAAAATACCTGGGAGGATAGGGCAGGAGTCTGCAAGGTGGCACTACCACCAATGCCTGTCTTGGGGTCCAGCTGAGACAGCCCCGGTGACAGTTGTGATGGGATATGGGTAGGACACAGATAGCAATCCTCGGGAACCCCACTCTGATTCCCCCAGCCATACTCCTCCTTACCCAGTAGCCCGGTGTTAAAATGCTGGATGGACAGTCACCAGTGCAGGAAAGCTCAGGCTCAGATGGGACCGGGCAGCTCAAAGCAGCCCCTCCACCCCCTTGCCAGCCCCCCGCTGCCACGCACCCACCTACAGGCAGGGGATTGGGTTGCACCAGCCTCAGGAAGCCGTGTGCCATTGCCACCAGCCCCGGTGTGTTGCTCCCCGGTGCCTCAAGGCCAGGGCCGTAGGCAGGCTGTGAGATGTTCCCCAGCTCCATCGCAGCAGCTCCGGTGGAAACCTGGGCACAGAGAGCAGCTGTCAGCGTTGTCGGGGCACAGGACCACGCAGCTTGCCCTGCCTCCGACCAGGAAATACAGAGAGAAAAATCAGGCACCTGCCGGCTCCTGCCCGGAAGGAACAAGCTGCGGGAGAGCACCAAATAGGGATGGGGAGTCCTGGGAACAGAGGGGTGGGAAGACAGGCAGGAGGTGCCCACGAGGGACCAGGGGGGCTGTGAGGGATGAAGCAGAGCACTCACCCTGTCCTCTGGCAACCCTGCGCGTCCACAGCTTCTGCAGGGCCCAGCCACACAGTGCCAGCGCCCAGATTCGCGGTTTGTTTAAGTTTCAGCGGTGATTGCTGACAAGGTGTTTGCCGGGAAAGGCGGCTATGCCGGGATCGCCCCACCCTGTCCCCTATACCTCTTGGCACCCGGCCACCTCGGGCGCCTCTCCGTAGCGGGTCACCACCGACGTGTCCCGACCCAGGCACCGGAGAGAGCCTGTCTCCTCACTCTGCTGAGCTCCCGTGCTCCTGCTGGTTTCCTCTTGCCCCGACCCAGGAGCTAGGTGGCCCGGGGTGATCCATCCCCACACCGCCTGCATCCTTTCGGGATGGGATGCATTAAGTCGGCCACAGTTTCGGCACAAACCAGCTCTAGCCACAGAACCAGGTTTTGCAACTAAAAACCTTCCGAAACCGGGCACTGCGGCAAACCCAGCGTTTTCCACACGCGTCCCGGTCCCCCCAAGCGGGAGAGAAGTCTCGGGGGCCTTCTGACGGGATTCTTCCTCCAAGGCTGGGCGCCTGCCCGGCTCCGTCCACGCTCCCCGCACAGCCTTCCCACGCCTCGGGGGCCACTCGTGACTCTACCCCCGCCCCGTGGTCCTCAACCTCCACTCCGCCGCCGGGACTCCGGGAGCCGCAGCCGGGGGGCAGGAGCGGGGAGGGGTCGGGGGTCGCTCCCGGTTGTGCCGCGGACGCACCAGGCGGGCGCGGGGCAGGTGCCCCGGAGGTCGCGTCCCGGCGGGCGGCGGCGGGCGGAGGTCCCCGGCTCGGTACAGCTCGGCACAGTTCCGCGCCGAGCGCGGCGCGGCTCCGGCAAGGGCGAACAGGGCTGGACAGAGCCGCCCCTTCCGCCCCGGCCCCCCGGGGTCTGTCCGGGGCGTGCAGCCGCCTCGGGCCCCCCTCCTCTGCCGGGAAGGGGCCCCCCGCCCCGCCCCGTCGCGCAGCACCTTGGCACCCCTCCTGCACCCTGCTCCTGGCCCCATCCCACCCTGACATCCTGCATCTGCCCGGGAGACCCCCGTCCCTGTCTTGTCCCATGTGGGAGAGCCCGCTGCCCTCAGACCCTATGGCCGTGCCCAGGTGATGCTCCCTCCTTGCCCAAGAGGCTCAGCCCTCACCTCACACTATCAGGCCCAGTGCTGGGCCCTCTGGCAGCCCACCCTGCCACAGCCTCCTTGACCAGAGCTGCTCCCCCTGCTGCCCAGCTTTTCCCTATGCCATCCCTCAGCTGTGCCTGCACCCTCACCTCCCGCCCCCGATCAGCTGGAGCCCCCAGCATGGTCTTTGGCCCCTGCCCCGTGTCCCTGTGTGGGGCACCATGAGCTTTTGGACGGGCACCAACGGGGAGTCAGGGTGAACTGTGCCCTAATGTCCTTTGCATAGTCGGTTTCCCGGTCCCTCCAGCGCCCATGGCTTGCTCGCTGTCATCTCCCAGTTACTGCTTAACTTGGCACGAGCAGGCATCACTGCACTTCGTGACCTGGGGCAAAAGTGGCACTGGGAGGAGGGCAGCCCTGCTTCAGAGTTTCTTCCTGGTCTGGCCTATGCCAGGTGCTGGGGTACCATCTGGAATCCTCTGGCTCAGTACTGGCATGGGCAGGGCAGCAGAGGACACAGATGTATCCTGCCAAAAAAGCTAAAAAGCAGGAAGTTTGTCACAGGGTCTGATGTGAGAGGGAGGTTTGGGGGCTTCACAGGTAGTCTTGGGCTTTCCAGCTCAGACCTCAATCCTGAAGTGCTTCCTTGGGGCCCTCCACCAGCTCCCGGGTGCATGTGCAGCATCCCACCAGGCTGGATCTGCAGGATCCTTCACGGATGGCAGGAACTGCTTCTGCAGAACATCAGTCCCTTCCAGCCCAGGGCATCCCACTGAGGCTGCCAGAGCTCAGTGCACATCAGGAGCAAGGGTGTTGACAATCTCAACTCTGGATGCCACCACACCATGGGCTCATTGGGGCCACCCTGCACCCACCTGCCCAGCCACGAGCTCCCACTACAGCACTTGTGCTCTGCAGCCCCGCTGACCTCAGTCCCTCAAGGTAAGGGTGGCAAGGTAGTATCCCCTCACCGCAGATGTAAATCCAAGCCCAGACCCTGCTCTGAGGACACAGGCCCATCCTGCCCTCACCCTCCACTGCATCAGCCCTGTTTTAAGAGCCTGTTTTCCCCCACATCCCTTTTTTCCCTACCCATTACTCCCAGATCTGCCCTCATCCCACCACTAATCACAGCCACAGGCTCCTCACCCTACACGTTTGGCCAGAGTGGGGTGTGTGCATTGGATGAGGCAGCCACAGTTTAAGCCTACTGTGTCCACATGACTGGGGACTGGACCCAGCTACTCCCAGACATCTCACCCAGCGGGGATGGCAAGACGCCATCTCTGGGGTCAGCTATCTGCCCTGGTCTGGGGGAACTGGTGGCCTGCATCTTGCCTCTAGTGCTGGCACAGGGCACCCCAGCTTCTGGAAGGAGACTGGGCTAGTACCTGTGCAGGCTGGCACTCTGGGGGTCCCATGTCCCTTCTTTGCCCCCCCAGAACACCTCCACGCTGCTCAGCTGCTGCTGCCCCGTTCCCACAGCAGGACTGCACTGCCCCCACTGCTCCCCAGGGAATACGCCTATCATCTTGATGTTCAGACAGGCCCTGAGCTGCTTGTTTGCTCTGGCTTGGGGACAGAGCCATTTCCCAGTTGCCCTGTACCTTGTGCTTGCTGAGATTTCTGCTTTCCATGGTGTGGCAGGGAGCTGGCCATGGTCTGGCTGGGAACCAGCAGCCTGAAGAGAGCCAGCATCATCCCGGGAGCAGCAAGCCCTGTGCATGCACCCCCTGCCAGGGCACCAGAGACATGAGGTTCTGCCCTCTCTGCCTTGCCCATAGTGGCCTGGTTCCACGCTCAGAAATAAATGCTCAGGACAGCCTCAAACCGAAAAGTCATTTTATTGGTACCATACATGACTCATAAATGGCACAAACTATGGAGGGGAGGAAGAAAAAAATAAAATAAAAAACCAAAACAAAACAAAAGAAAAAACACAACCAAAAAAAAAACCCCAAAAACCAACCAATGAAACAAACAAAAAACCAAAACAAAAACCCCCCAAAAAACAAAACAAAACAAAACAAAACAAAAAGGCATTACAGTGTGCCCGGGGCAGTGAGGGCTCCACACCTCCACGGCAGCCCTGCGGCATGGTGTGGAGAATTGTACCTTAATTGCAACTCTCTCAGAGACCCGCTCCCCTCCCACCACACCAGGCTCCCACCCTGGGATGCTGCCCCCACCTGCAAAGGGGCTGTGGGGACCCCTGTGCCTTCAGCTGTGGGTCTGACAGGCCATGCCCTCTGCCTCTGGCCTGCCCATGGAAGGGCCCTGGAGCCGACAAAGGCATCTCTCCGGATATTTTCAGCTTGACCAGGGCTGACTCAAAGGACTCCCATCTCCCTGCCCAGCCCCAGAGACAGCAGGAGGAGACACACAGGGTGGCGCCCACCCTGTCTCAGCAACCCCCTGCACTCGCAGCCATGAGTGGGCAAGTGCAGGGTCCCACAGCACCCCTGCTGCAGCCAGAGCCCCCAGGCAGGGACAGCCCCTCAGTGCCACCTGCCAAGCCCCTGCCCCACAGGGCAGTGGGACATGGACTATGGGATCTCCGTCAGGGAGCTGGGCGCAAGTCTGGCAGAGAGAATGGAGCACACAACCCTCTCCCTCAAACTTCAGGGCTGCTCTGCCTGCCCTGGGCTCCCTTACACATGCAGACAGACACACAAACCTCCCGCACACACACTCTTACACACATTCAGACCCCTCCCACTAGGGCAGTCCCTCCCACCCTGGCCACCCCCCATGGCAGCACTTGCTGCAACCCCACCTTGGGACATGCCAGGGGGGCCCCATGGGCAGCCCAGACTCCCATCTCACCCCAAAACCTCCCTCCAAGGCTGCTGGGGTGAACTGGTTAGCACAAATACCCTCCCCCAGCACCTCCCATCTTCTCCTTGGAAGAAGCCTTGGAAGGGTTTATTTTTTTTCTTTTTTCTTTTTTTTTTTAAACCAAAACAAAACCCCAAAATTATTATTTTTCTCATCGTTTCCCCTAACATCAATGGAGGCACCTGCTCTAGTGATAACACATTGAAAGAACAGTATCGTACACACTGTCTACAGCGCGGAAATGTACAAGCACGAGGTACACGAACCCAGGGGGGGGAGTGGGGACAACAGCACACAAGATTTACATTGAGGAGGGAGGCGGGGGGCTGATCCCCCTGACCCCTGGAGGGATTAGAAAGGAAGTCTGCAAAGTCTCTCCTTGGTTTGAAGCTCTCCGAACTGGATATAAAATGAGACTTCCAAGAGAAGAAGCCTGTACAAAAGTCAGGACAGGGTGAGAGGGTTCAGGACAGGGAGGGGGGAACTGGCAAGGGGGCTGAGGGGGGCTTTTCCCATTTTTTTTCTTTCTTTTTTTTTTTAAACTTACAATTTTAATAATATTATTTTTTTTTCTTAAAAAAAGACAAAAGTAGGAGGTACCAGGAGCCAGGGTTTGCAAAGGGGCCCCAGGCAGACTCACGCAGGGTGGAGGGAACACAGGGGCTGCAGGCAGTGAGCAAGGGCACTGGCTGCTCCAGCAGAGCTGCAGGTCCTCCGTGTCCCTCCAGGCCCCCCGCCACACACTTCCTATATACAGAGTGCCCCCATGGCCATGCTGCGCTTTCGCTCTGGGGAGCGAGGGGAACGGGAGGGTGCAGGAGAGCGGGGAAATACGATGGGGCCCTATCCTCAACACCACCCCAGCGATGCAGGATCTGACGCCAGCCGGAGGAGGTTCTGCGGCAGAACCCGAGGCATAAGGACGGGTTTCTCTCACTGACCCCCCCGCCACTCAGCCCGAGGCTGGACCGGGGATGTGCAACCCTGCTGCAGGTGGCTGCTCAGCAAACACCAGCCATAGGACCCGGGCAGGAGGAGGGTCTCAGGGCTGTGCCAAACCCCAACACGTGGCATCTGGTAATGCCAGCTGCTGCTAACACCTCCCTCCTAATTCCCCCCACTCAGCAGGGAGGGGTGGGGCACATCGGGGCGGGGATGAGAAGCTCTCTGGGCAAGAAGCAGGGAGGAAGAGAGAGGGGGAATAACGAAGCTATGGCCCCGGAAACCCACCCCTGCCCTGGGGTCCGTTGCGGAGGCAGGCGTGGGGGTGCGGGGAGGCGGCGGGGGGAGAGGGCTGGGGGCTGCCTGCCTGGCACGCGCCCCAGGCCGTGCACCCCATCATCTGCGCGGCGCCGGTGTGCCCCCGGGACCTCACCGCTTCCCAGTCACTCTGTTGCAAATGTACAGGTAGATTGGTTGGGACTGAGTCCACGGGGCGGCGGGGGGGCCGTTACTGCGACGCCTGTGACGTGGGGTTCTCTGACTTGCTCTCCTGGCTGGAGGGTGGTTTGCTGTTCCAGGGGCTGTTGGCCCCCAGCGCCGGCGAGTTGTTGAAGCTGTCCTCGTCGTCGATGCCGTTGGCGGCGTCAAACTGCGTGTTCTCCAGCCGGGTGATGAGCCGCTCGTCCTCGTCCCCAAACTCCCCCCCCATCA